TGCTACTTCAATCAAAGTGGGCGTGTCCACACCGAATGTGGTAAACAATTTAGTTTTCGAAGGGTTCAAAGCAAGTCCAATGCCATGCAATTCCTCAATGAGAATTTCCAGCATACGCACTAGTTCACACCAAGACTTCGCAAAAAGAACCAGGTCATCCGCATAGCGTACATTGGTCAACCGCTCCGTGCACCCAACATGAAGACCGCAATCGCCCAAACGTCGCTTCCACCGCTCCAAAGCAAGTTCCAATCCAGCATTGAAAAATAAAGGGCTAATAACATCACCTTGTCGAACACCACGCTCAATTGCAAATGCGCGACCTCCTTTGATGTAGCCAGTTTGCTCACGGTAAAGCATGGTAAGCAATTTCACATATTCATGGTCCACACCGTGGTGATGCAAAGCGCGAAACAAACTCACATGTTCAATCCGATCAAATGGTTTTTTGAGACCCAGACTGGCAAACCAACAGTTGAAATTCCACTCCAATGAATTGCTGCAAACGGTTTCCAGCACAACAAAGGCATCATCAACTCCACAAGACCGTCGGAAACCTATTTGGTCGTCTGGCTGCCGTGATTCCAATTGAGCGCTCAAACGACCATGTAACAAGTTGGAAAATATTTTGTAAGAAATATGAAGCAGAGCAACCGGTCGCCAGTTTCCAGGGTCTTTCTTCTCACCCGATTTGAATAACATGGTGAAAAAAGTGGATTGCCAATTTGATTCCAACACTCCACTATGAATCATACGATTAAAAATGTCCATGAGGCACACCAAAATTTCATCATTGGCAAAACGAAACATTTCCGCAACAATGCCACACGGGTCAGGACACCTTCGATGTTTCAATTTCCCAACTGCTTTGCGAATTTCATCCAATGTGAATGGCGGAATGTCAAAACCAATAACTGGTGATAGCTTTTCGGGGGGAAGATTCGAACGGAAAACTGACTCCAGGAAATTTGTCAACTCTTCGGGTGACGGTGCATCGGCCACATTGTTCAATGGTTTGTGGCCATCGAAAACACAACTCCAACTACCTTTGTTCATCAGTGGATTCGCTTTGCCAGCCGTGCATCACGACAACTCACCTCTCCTGTAGTGTCCAATTCTTGAAAATTCCGCCACGGCCTTGTGTGGTATTACTGGCAGAACGAGCGAAACAATATTGCTTTGTGAAACTGCGATTTCCAAGAGTTAGAAGTTTGCGCATGGGTTCCCAGTTCGAGGAACTGCTGGGTCCCAAACGTTCGAACCAATGCTTTTCCCCATCTTGGAAACCACGGGTTCGCAGTTCAGAAACTACCGATTCCCAAATGTTGTAGCGTATGTTTCCCCATCTTGGAACCACAGTTTTTCCAGTTCGAGGACAGCTGGTTCCCAGACGTTCGAATCAATGCTTCCCAGTCTTGGAACCACGCGTTCCCAGTTCTAGGAAGTATCGGTTCCCAATCTTGGAACCAACGCTTCCCAATCTTAGAACCACGGGTTTCCAGCTCGAGGAACTGATTTCCCAAATGTTGGAACCAATCCCCCCCAAACTTTAGACTATGGGTTCCAAGATCCAAGAGTTTCCGGTTGTTTCCAAGCCTGGAACTACCGGTTTCGACTTCCAGAAGGCGTTTACGTAACTTGCAAGAACTACATGTTCCCAAGGTTGGAAGCTACGCCCCGCAACTTGACAAGTGTTTCATTTCCAGGAACCGCGATCCAAATGCGTTTGCGCAAAGCAAAGCGGATATTTAACGGATATGTATAGATCTTATAAAAGGAACTCCTTTGTTTTGCCTAATGATCCGGTATCAAAATGTGTTTGCATTTTTTTTTTGACATATAGTTCAAATTTGAAAATGACACGATTTGCGATGGCATCGCCAGCAGCAACAGCTATCGCTTTTTATCCGTATGTTATTTTGTTTCAGCAATCCACACAGCTAAAAACATGTTTCCAACGCTAGAAAACTTGTAGTCAAACCATGAACACATTGATTTCCGGCCGGAACAGATTTCATGCCTATCCCATGGCACGGTTAAAGCTTCAAGTAGCTCACAGTGCACAATCAAGTATGTGCCTAACATAATCCTTGCAATGCAATGGCCTCGCACTCTGGACAGCAGCCTGCGCAACACCTTTGCTAGGCTTCGCCACCGCACCCTGGGCAGCAGCAGCGTCACACCAGCCACAGCAGCCTGCAGAGCACCCTGCACAGCACCTTTGCCAGACTTCTCCCGGCACCTTTGCCAGACCTCGACAGGAATCGTGGACAGCAGCCTGCACAGCACCTTTGCCAGACCTAGCCACCACTCTACACACAAGCCTGCACAGGACCCTGCGCCTTCTGCCAGAGCTCGCCACCGCACTCTGGACCGCAGTTTGCCGCGCACCGCAAGCATCAGCGAGCAGCAGCCCCACAGCAGCCTCACAGCAGCCTCACAGCAGCCGCACAGCAGCTGTCAGCCACAGGAGCCTGCATAGCAGCCTGCATAGCAGCCTGCACTGCAGCCTGCACAGCACCTTTTGCCGGACTTCAGCACCCTGCACAGCACCTTTGCCAGACGTCAGCACCCTGCACAGAACTTGCCACTGCACTCTTGGACAGCAGCCTGCACAGCACCCCGCAAACGTTTGCCAGACTTCATCCCATTTTGAGCAGCGCCTTCACAACACCCACGGCTGCCTACAGCGCTGTGCATGCACAGCACCTTGGCCAGACCTCGCCAGGACAGCAGCCTGCACAGCAGCCTGCACAGCACCTTTGCTAGATTTCGCCACCGCATTGCAGCAGCCAGAGCAGCCGGCACAGCACCCGGCACAGGACGGCATCCGCAGCAGCCTGCGCAGGACCGTGCGCAGCACCTTTGCCAGACTTCGGCACAAAGTTCGCCATCGAAGACTTGACTATAGCTTCCAGCTACCTGGGGAATTACAATCCCACAAACCAATCCAGTGATATCCAGAAAGACTTCCAAAACTTTTTTTCCTGACTAAAACTGTGTTCAAAGATGGCGGCTCTGGCTGCTATCCAAGCGCTTCGGCCGGGCATTTTTAATGCAAACGCTTGTACTGGCAATGTCCTGAAATTGGGTGCAGCTGCCTCGAGCATTTTTCTGATCCTGGACCTGCTCCTGCCATTTGACCTCAGCTGATTTCCAGCCGTTTTGGTGTGTAAGACCGATTTGGCTTGACACCATGGCTTGAGAGCAGCGGAGTCAAATTCGCCTTAGTGATCAGTAAAGTGCTTGGTGTAAAAGCGTGTTTGCGTAAAAGATGGCTGGTGTAAAAGTCCGTTTGTGTAGAAGCTGGCGTGTGTAAGACTTTGGAGATTAAACAGGAAAAGAGTCAAAACTGGTAGATGCAAGCGGCATGGCTGTGAGAGTGCATGCGGAGAAGGCCGTGAGCGCAGAGGAAGAGCAGGAGTAGCAGGAGTAGCAGGTGCGTATGGTTTGTTGGGCACAGGCAGGTTGGAACGTACTTCTGGCTGGAATGCACGGGAAACCGTGGAGAAAATGTGGAAAAAGGCCGGCATCGCAGGGGCGAGAACGGGCTGTAGATCGTGAAAAAAAGGTGGGAAAATGCCGCATCCCAGGGACGAGCCGGAAGAGGAAGAAGAGGAAGAAGAAGAAGAAGAAAAAGAAAAAAAGAAGAAGGTGATGGTGATGGTGATGGTGATGGCGATGGCGATGGCGATGGCGATGGCGATGGCGATGGTGATGGTGATGGTGATGGTGATGATGAGGAGGATGATGATGATGATGATGATGGTGATGGTGATGGTGATGAGGATGAGGAGGATGATCATGATGATGATGATGATGATGGTGATGGTGATGATGATGAGGATGATGGTGATGGTGGTGGTGATGGTGATGATGATGAGGATGATGATGAGGATGATGATGACGATGATGATGAGGGTGAGGATGATGATGAGGATGATGATGATGATGATGATGATTGTGATTGTGATTGTGATTGTGATGGTGGTGGTGATGATGATGATGATGATGGTGATGATGATGGTGATGGTGATGGTGATCGTGATGATGATGATGATGATGATGAGGATGATGATGATGATGATGATGGTCGTGACGAAGACCACAGAGACGATGATGATGTAAATAGGGTCAGCGCTAGGTAGCTTGAGAAAAGGGACGCGACGACACGAGACCATACCAGACCATTCTGGACTTGCCTAGACTATGCTAGACAAATCTAGACTAGACTATATTACACTACACGGGAGGGGGCAGGGCAGCGAAACCAAAAATCCGTCAAAAGAGCAGCTATAAGTGAAACAAAAACTACAACAAAATGTATTACAAGAACATCCACGAAGCACGCCAGCAGGCCAGCGGATTTTCTTAAGGCCACGACAAATCCCCACCAGAAGGTATTTCGTGTTGGTACCCCTGGAAAAAAATTGGTTCCTCTTTGAACGGGCCTTAAACATCAAGGGAAGGGATACCAGTTTTAGCCGGCAAACCACGCGAACCAGATGGGAACTGTACGTGGTGTGCTAAAGCATGACCCTCCAGCAAAGTTCATTTAAAACCATTCTTCCTTCCACCAGGTGAACTTGAAGAGAAATGGCACATTTATGCATGAGGCCGTGAGAACTTTCATGAAGATTGAAAGATCTCTTCACGCTTCGTTCCTTTTAGTTCGTGATTATTGTATTTATTGTCGCAGTCATCGTGTCTGTTTGCTAGTTTCGTTCCTTTGTTTCCATGGATTGACTCCACTCTGGGTTGCTGCAAGTTGATCAGACAAATGCACTTTGCAACATGCAGTTGACAGTTCCAATGGGAATTTTTTCCGCCAATAATTGCTTACAGAACTCATCAGTATTCAAGGTTCGGACGACTAGATGCTTTGGAATATCGTTTTGCAATCTTGAGGTTTGATTCGGCCATGGTACATGCAACGAGAAATACATGGCAAAAGTACGTTGAAACGATGGCCCGCGAAGACAAAGAGTGTCACATTGTCACATTGTCATGGCTGACGAGTTGGATCCCGATGTCGAATATGTTCTTTTGAATAAGTGACTTGGCGGCGTTTTCTTTTGCCAGCTGGGAACCTTTTCCTCTGAGATTGTGACGAATCTACTGAGGCGAGATGCCAAAGTCTACCAGGTTTGATCGCGGTTACAATTTATTTTTTTTCCAACGCACAGAAAACGTGGATGCCAATGAAACAGACTACAAAGTTACTAAGGGTGCCAACTGTTTGATTATCAGATGAATTGACCCGAAAATTTGTGTGAGACACACGCGCACACAATTTTTTTTATGGCACAGGTGCCACCTGCTGCATCAGCATCCGGGCACAAAGCTGCTGATTGGAAGGCCAATTCTGAATGTGGTGCCAACGACATGCAAACTAATTTTGGCTGGTTTCATCAACGTGTAGATCTTGCTTGGACGTGTGTTTGCTATAGGAACATGTGCGACGTGTACAATGGTATACTTGAACCTATGTTCCCATACATCACCCTTCTGCAGGAGGCAATTTGGCGAGGAAATGTTCGAATTGTGGGAAGAGGAAAAGAATTGACAATTCGTGACTTGTCGCACAAAATTGCCTTAACCCTGGTCAGTTCACATGGCGTGTAACATTTGTGGATGTCGTCAGGGCAATTTTGCACATGCACACACACAAACACAAACGCTTAGAAACACCCCTGCCTGCATGTGCCCCAACAGCAAATCACCAGGTTTGTTGGACAGTGGTTCTGGCAGCTTATTCGCTCAGTGTGCGACCTGGCTTCAAAAAGTGCTCTTGTTGGTAGATTTTCCATGCATCCATACCTTGCCTCAATGCTATTGGTCAGCTGCCTCTGCAGTGCTCAATGCCGTTCAGGTCATCCCTGAGGGTGCGTACGAACGTTATGTTGAGCGAGTCCTGGACTCCAGTCGGTATTGGGTCCTCAAAATTGTTTGCGGCCTAATTTTTGCTGTTCTCGTGGATGCCGTTAAGGCCATGAAACAAGATGTATCAGAGAATGTTCTGCAACTGGGGGTTCAGCTGGCAGAGTTTGTGGCTTGTCACAACTTGCTTAAATTCAATCTATCCCATGAATTTGTGAAATGCTCCCAGGTCAATGGACAACGACATGCCTTCATCGGTTTTGGCTTCAGTGACCGCGGCTTGGTCGTAACGAAAGTCAGTTTCAAAATAACGGAGTTACAAGCTTTCGATGGAGTGTGAACCTTTCCTTTCATTTGCTGCTTTCTTTGGCAAACCCCTCTACGCTAAAAAGGATAAAACAGGGGGATTGCTAAATTTGGTCTGTGGCTTGTAAGAGCAAGTGGTGTGAAGGGTTGCTGACTCTCTTTTGAATGGCGAACGCGTCCTGGCGGTTCTGGTGGATATGTTTGTGTAGACATTCATTGCGCAGCCTTTAGGCGAAGGGAAAAATATGATTGAAAGACTGTCAATTACATGTATACAAACTGGGGATGTGTTGTTTCAAAGCCATTCGGTTCGGACGGGGAGCAGCTTAGGAAATGATGCTTTCGATTTCAATGCATGCTTGGCGGATTTCAAGGCGGGCACTGCGCGATGTTGCTTCGTGTTTCTGTCAGATGAGTTTGTGAAACTTCTGAGAAAGTAGCAGCTGCGCAGCAAACTACACCAAACCCAATCAATACGTATTGGGTGGCATGATTCGGAATGACCTTATACAATAATATTATCACCAACATAGCGACCCGGCCAGCCCGCTTTTCGTCAAGGCCACCTTTATCGACAAGGTCCATGAAGCCAAAGCGGCCGAAGCGCTGCCAAAGTCCCATGACCAAACACTTCATAGGAACGAGGAAGTTGGCGTCATGTGAACGGATCCAACTTTTGTGCTGAGTGGGTCAGGTGTTATGGAGGTCAAGATATTGGAAAGGAGAGGTCCAAACATGTTTTGGTTAAACCTGACCTACAATATGGAACAGCTCGTGGCACACTGTATTTTTCCTCGTTCAATTGCTGCAGGGCTCCTTTTCGACATTCTTCATTTTCTGAACTGATTTTCGGAAGCCTAAGGAAAGACTTGTCTCTAAAAGAAGGACAGACCATCACAGTATCTTGGCACCACTTCAGCTGGTCCAAGTGTGCTGGCTGTGCAGTGCCGGCTGTACCAACGTACTGCGCTCATTGCGCACATTTGAGGTGAATCTGCCTGGGAAGGGTGGAAGGCAGGATGCTTTGGTCTTCCTATGTCTCCCTAAAAAAAAAAGGCCGTTTTGGCTGCCTGTGTTCCTGCAGGCGGAGGGTGCCACAAGTGCCACAAGCTGGCTATGCAGGAGGTGTATCTTTGGTTCCATGGCTGCAAGTGTGGCCGGGGTCAGTTCCAAGCACAGCTGGGTCCGCAGCTCGATGGATGTCCAAGGCGCCGCCGCCTTCCACTGGAACCGCGCTGCAGACTAGCAGTGGCAAGGTTTGGACCACCAAACAACTTTGGCCCCTCTTGTGAGGGTTACGCTCCTTCATGCTGGAGTGTTTTTTCAGTGGAGTTCATGTGACAATGCGGGTGGGTTTGGCTTGAGCACCGACATCATGCGGTGTTTCCCATCCACGGTACTTGCAGATTGGGGCTGAAAGCTATCGGACTCGTTCGATTATCCGCTGATGGACAAGAATGAAGTGCTTGAGGCCACAGAAATTGCCACGACAGCTCCAGCCTGGCGCTTGGATATGCATGGATGGAGATGTGCGTTTGTTCCAAAGATGGACGAAACAATCAGAGCATGATAGACTAGGCCCTTGGAGGTTAGCATGGCAAACGTGCAGTGGCGGCTACTGGTTCCAAAGAAGTTGTGGACTGTACAGCTGCTGTACGCAGTATCGTAATGTGATTTCCAGGATTCCTTTCCTGCGAGGAATCTGATCCTCCAATCCTACCCATCATTGGTTTCAAGGTTTGATCAATTCCTGGGAAGGTCCTCCTGGCCTCTGAAGTCTGAGGAAGATGACTTTGCAGACTTTGCGGACTTTCAATCGGCTGCAGCTGCGCCATCCGCATCATAAAGAGCAGGGTCAAGAGGGAAAAAAATGCAATCAGCTGCGGGAAACACAGTCATCGTGCTGTTTGCTGCCCAGGCTTTATGTGGACACACCATGTCTTTTTTTCCCCCTGGTGCTTCTATTGGCTCAAGAACGCCACGTGCGAATCAATCCTAAACAGCCAGCAACAAGCCTCAAGACGCAACCTTTGACTGACCTGAGACCATGCTTTACCTGCGCCAATTTAACGCAGCCACTCGCATGACAAAAAAAAGGATTTTCAGTATCCCCTCATACCTTTGCCTACGACGCAAACTTCAGCTCATCTGCTAGAGCTGCGCCGGTTCGGACGCCAAGACGGGATCAGACTCATGCTGCGATAATAGGATGCCTGTTTTCAGAAGGCACAAACGCAAGATGTCACAAGTGGTGATTCATCAATGGTGTGGTCCACATCCTGTTGAACTTTTTTGGCCAGTAGGCCTCCCAAGCCTGGCCATCAATTGGGTTTGACTTATTAGGTCGGAGCTTTCCGAGTCAGATAGTTGGATGTTGACTTCACTCTTGCGTTTGAATCTGACAACCTGTGGAGCAAACCAAAAGACACTGAGGTTGCTGAGCTATGCCTGGATCTCAGACTTGGTGTGGGTGAGATGATTTGCCAGTGGTCCTGAACATCCCTTGGTTGATAGTTGACTAAGGAGCGATGATGCTGAGCCTGCAGCTGACACAGAGGTGACGCTTCAGCGGTTCAGGATGTTGGTAGTTAGCATCACACAAGTGCCTTTGAGAGAGGTTATACGATGTTATACGATTTGTGGATGTTAAAGTGAATTGGGCACCTAGCATGGAAGAACCCTTTACCGACCCCGTTTTTCTGGAGGCCATGCGAGTAGTGCGTATGGTTTCAAAGGCCTGCCTCATCTCATCGGTGGTCCAAAATTGGGCCCCCAGGGCCTAAGCCCATGGCCCATGGGTCCACCCAGTAAGTTTTGGGTGGATGTCAACAGTTTTTATACACTGCCAGGCAGAGCAGACCATTGGAGGCCACCCAGTAAGTTTTGGGTGGATGTCAACAGTTTTTATACACTGCCAGGCAGAGCAGACCATTGGAGGCTCTAATGGACTTGAGCCCACAGCTGCACCTGTCGTGCTCCCAGCTGCCCTGGGATGCCCAGGGATGTACTCCAGCTGTCTACTTTGATAAAGCTGAGGCAGATATGGTCCCTTCGGATAATGGCACAGCTGAGGTGGGAATCAGGGAGCAATTCTGAACCACAGTTGAGTAAAGAGTGATGAGGGTGTCCTTGCACTGCTATGGTAGTGCCAATGCACTCACTATGGTACGATCCAAGCTTCACCACAGGCATCCAAGTCAGGGCCGTTCGTGCCTCAGTGATCCCGAAATCCACGAAGCGAGTGCCGATGGCTGGGGTTCTTTGAGGCCAGCACCTGCACCTGTTGTGCAATCAGGGTTGGAATCTTTGCGCCGCGGGACTGTTGCTGACAACCCCGGAGACACCAGGGTTTGAGACATCGGTGTTTGAGATGATGATTGTGATTAGATTAGTTGGGAAGTTGATACCGTGATACAGTGATACCTATGAATGTTGACTCTAGGCGTCGGCTCAGTGATTGAGATAAGCATGATTGCAATCTGCAAGAGCTTCATTTGTTCTGAAGTTCTCACTCTCCACCAGCAGACTTGAGAGTACTCTTGCACATTGATCGTATTGCTGCAAGAGCATGCAAGCTTATGCTAGGGAGCACACCTTTTGCAGCCTGCTAGAGCATCATCATTTCAATGCCGCGTGAGCGTGAACCAGAAGGCTCTGTGCGTGATGCGGATGCGCTGGAAAGTTTGACTGACAAGCTGCGCAGCGGAGAGTTCTCTGAAGCCATTGCGGCTGCGCAACGTGCCACGGAGCAGACTCAAGGTGCCCAGCTGTGTTTGCAGGCTGATGGTGGCGTGAAGCGCGCTGATCCGCACTATGCCTTTGTGGGGAGTGAAGCAGCAGCTCCAGTGGATGAGGAAGATGAGCTGATGCGTCTGCGAAGGGAGCGGAAGGCCCAACTGCAGAAAGAAAGCGTTTGGAAAAAGCAAGGTTCGGACTTGCAGTTGCCAATCAGTTGTGGGTGGGTTGCAAGATGAGACCTTCCTTGGGACACTCCAATGTAACTGCGATTTGGGTCTTTGTTTGTTGGATTAGCTGAGATGTTGGTTTCACAAGCATGCAACCCTGCAAGGTCATGGCTCATTGCGAGAACTTGTGAGTGAGACGGAGTTTGTTGAGACTATTGCCCCACATGAACGTGCCCTAGTGCTGTTGGATGATGGTGCAGCTTCAGCCGGGGAAGTGTGTCGGAAGGTTCTAGGCCGACTGGCTTCCAAGCACCTGGAAGCCCAGTTCTGCTGGTTGCCTGCAGAACGAGCATTCTTTTTGACTCAGATGATTGACCTTCAGGGTCTTCCTACCATTTTTGTGCTGAGATATGGTGAAGTCACTCGTCATTTGCCGCCCTCGCAGCTCTTTAGCTACTCCTCGGCATCGTCTCCCTTGTTCCCGAAGCACTTGCGGAATCTGCTGCACAGAAGTGGGGCCATTGAAAACGTTGATGACGATAGTGACAGCGCAAGTGATGATGACTCGGACGAGACTTTTCGTTGACACATCTGAAGTTTACCCAACATCTCCCATGAAGAAGAGGAGTGAGGGAAAGTTTTGAGTTTTGATTTTAATGAAGTGTTGTTCCACCATGCAACACTGAACTCTGCTAAGCAACTGTCAGTTCTTTGTAGTTTCGAGTCAGCGTACAGATGCGAGTGACCGGTGCATTGACAGTTCATCTCAGAACCAGGGAGACAAAATGCAAAGATTGCACTCTCTTTCACGGTGATGAGAATGCTACGGCCTTGCGGCTGTTTTTGGGAATAGATTCAGCTATGTCAGCTATGTCCCTCGTACTGAGGCCCAGTGCAGAGAAGATCAAAGCCATTGAGGCATGGTTAGCCTTTTGTATAATTTGTATAGAAGGGGACTAAGGGGACTTCCTGAAGATTGAATTTCTGTGTCTATCTGTGTCTATCTGTGTCTATCTCTACACGGATCTCCAAAGTCGGAAAAGCGTCATTTGATGCGCCAGGAGTTGAAGGCAGCCATCAAGGCCGCAGCCGCCAAACCCAAGGCAAAGAAGCCAGAAACCGAGGAGAGCTGCGACGCCGTTGTAGGCATTGATCCTGATACATCTGCAAAAAAAGTTGAGCAGCATTGAGCAGATTTTGTTCCAATTCAATTTTGTGTACTCCAATTATAGTTGGATTTTCAAGGAAGCAGAACATGTGAAATCCTGAAGTTGCCTGACGAAAGCAACTGCCACAGAAGTGCAGGAGCTAGTGGGGCTTTGCCAGTGTGTGAAAAACTTGGCCGCAAACTTAGACCACTGCATTTAAGCGCTGATGGATCAGGTGCCAAAGGAGGAAGTCACACCAGAATGGGAAAGTGCGCGTGGTGACATGCAACATGTCGCGAGGTTCCAATGGCTAACCTAAACGAACTTTCCTCACATATCAGCTGTATCCTCGCAGAAAAAATCAAGTTGTTTTATTAAAGGGTCCTTCCTTTGTGTCGAATCAAGAATGGAGCTGCAGGCTGGAAGCAGCGAAATTTTCGCAAAGGTCAAAGAAATCTTGCCCAAGCATCCTAGTTGCACTGGATGGGCTTGTTCAAGTCCTAGTCCAAAGAATTGTTTGCATGCAGCAGCGGGGATATTTTTCGGCTGTCGGTGCTACAGATCGCAGTATTTGTTTGTGCTTGGTTGGTCCTGGATTGATGCAACCTAATGAAATGTCTAGCCAAACTGCTGCGGAGGATAGGGGAGAGCCACCTGGTACCACTAATGGGCATCAAACGAGCACCACCGCGACCACAGCGACCCGCTCCTGTGGAAGCAAAGCCCAAAGCTTCATCGTGGATAGCCTAGTGTGTCGCAGCAGGTTGAAGCCTTGGAGTAGCTCACAATCTAGAAGGGTAGGCGGAGAAGTAGATGGCGGAGGTATGCAGAGGTGAAAGGGTTTCCAGCCAACATGGGGCCATGGGTGAAATATTTTCTATACCGAACAATGGGTGTGAGGTCGCAGAGGGTCATGGGCCGAGTGAAGAGCTACAACACGCGGAAGGGCCAGAGCCTTACAGGAAGTGGATCAAGCTCTAGCCCAACGACTCAATCCACCATCATCCGACTGAGTCGATTAGATCAAGTAGTCGTTGGCTGTATGGAGCGTCTGTTTGCCCTACAGAGGAGAGATCTTCCGTTGCTGTGGAAATCCGTCAGCTCTATGGAGTCCAGAGGCTTTGGCTTCATCATGGTGCCGGAATTTCCGCGTGATGTCTTTGTCTACAATTCGCACCTCATTGGACGCATAGGCGTTAGCATGTGGGCATGTGGTATGGATGAAAAAGGGCTACGCTTCCCTAAGTGGGAGTTGACGGGCAAAGTATGTAAGAGACCGGTAGAATATGATTGAAGCACTGATCGTCAAGCATGAGAGGAGCTGGCAGGATATTAAAGGCATTTTAAAGGCATTTAAAGGCACTTAAAGGCCAACATTCTGGAATGTGACTTCTAGCTTTCAAAATAGCAAGGCTCTGCACCCTGAACAACAGATGTGTCGTGCTTTTGAGGACTTTTGGCGGGCGAGGCTGTGGTTTTCGATTTGGTGGTCGAGGGTGGTCGTCCACAAGCCCGGAATGCTCCTTGGTTGAACATGATCTTGGCTGGATCAGTACGAATGCCTTCATTCTTTTTTTAGGCATCCAAACTTCACTGAAATCCAGCACTTCCGTCATGTATCATGTGGCCTCTTGCGGCCCCAAGGTGAAAGTGACTGGAGATGCACCAGCATCGGCCTTAGTACCTGCGTAGCATTCAGGCTTAGTACCTGGTGAAGTTGCTTGTCATCCATGGCTGAGGCGGAACAAGAAAATTCGGCCGAGAATCTGGCGACCATCAAGAAGGCAGCTGGGACCCGTCCACGATGTACCCATTCCGCGAGGGTTTCATGACCTGGGAAAAGATATGCGTGTTGCACAGGTAATAGCAGACCAGATGCCTCATCTGCAGCCAGCACCAGGCGCGCTGGATAGAATTCAACTTTGTGGTTGCGCAAAGAATCTCAACTGACGGCAGTAGGGTGAATTGGGAGCTTCACACTCCAGCTCAGCAAATGTCCATTTGCGGATGACCTTTGCTGTGCACGAAGGCGGAGGTCAATCCATGCGAGACTACACCCTGGCCATGGCTGCTGCTGCTGCAGAAGTGCCACGATGCTGGTTTTGGATTGTCTTGGGAAGGCGAAGCAAAGCACATGATATGGTCCCATGCGCTTCAGAAGATTGAGACTTGGCCATGTCGTACGTCTTTCTTTCAGGAAGAACATTGGCGAATAGCAGTTGTGTAGTCAGTCCTTGTTCTTCTACTTCTTCCTCTTCTTTTTCCAGTACTTGTAGCCTTTGGCCTTTGGGACCCTTGTTGGCAATACCTTCACAATTCAGAGGTTGGATTGGTTCAATGCATGTTTCCGAAGCTTGTCATTTGTCCCACTTCGATTGGTTGCATGGCTTCCAGACTTCCAGGTACCCACCACACTGCCCGGTGCTCGTGCGTCCAAGAGTCCGGAAGACCTGCTGCAGGAACAGATCCGCAAGGTGGATCTGGAATCATGTGCAATTATTTAGCAGCCGGTCTTGCCAGACCTTTCCCGCTCCCTCTCCCTCTCTGTGGCTCCCACAAAAACGCAACTTTTTTAAAGTTCCAAAAGCAGTGATAACTTTGCCAAATCCACAGCCACATGATTTGTCACAAAAGTCATTTGAGCATCAAAGAATCTTTGAGCATTTTTTGTACTTGGATGGTATACACACACACACACACATGTCACACACACGCACACACACATATATATATATATAATATATATATATAATATATATATAATATATATATATATAATATATATATAATATATTATATATATATATATATATTATATATAATATAATATAATATAATATATATATATATATACATAATCTATATACATACACACACACATATATATATATATATTTGTGGCTCAAATGAGTCCAGAAGTGCCCGTCAGGCTCAGTCTGAAGCCTCCACCCGCCAGACTGCCAGGAAGCTCTGCACTTGGAATTGTAGGACACCAGATGACTTTATTGAGGATAGAAATATGCCTGATCTACCGAGCTATTCTTCAAGGGCTTCCTTTGGTATCTTTTGTCTTGTGCTGTGAGTATGTGATAAGAAGCACTTGCACATAGTCAGGCCCGAGATGGAGATGCCGTGGGGGACCTTTGTGAATGGACGTGGGTCAACAGGTCAACATCACGCCATAAAGGGGATGCTTTGCTGCCGAGCACTACTGAAAATGATCAATTTTTGAACTCAATTTCAGTATGAGGGCGTTTGACTGGACTCTTGAACAATATCGTATTGGCAAATATTATTTGATTGTCGGTATATATCATTTTATCTCCCATATTCTGGCGTCTTCACCTTGAAATACCCAGGTCGGAGCCCTGGGAGGGCAACATTCCAAGAGGTGCCACACGCTTCAGACGCTTCCGCGGTTTGGGACACCTGGGGCACCGATTGTGTTGGATGGCACCTGGACGGCACTGCAGGTAGCAAAGTTCGTGTTGTGGAATTTCCTGCGCCAGACATCAATGGCTGCCAGACGCCCAACGGTTTGGAACTGGAACTTACACTTTGGTCTCCCACATTTTTTTTGTTCACTGACAGCTGTCTGAATAAGAGGGGTGAATATTGTACGAATCTTGCATGCGGCACTCACGGTTTGCCTGGAAGAATTCTTGACGGAGCAATAGGGATTTGCCGCGCCATGACCCTTGGATTGGTACATCTTGGATCATCTTGCTATCGCCTGGCGTTTTCTCTCAAAGCTTCCGCTATGTCGGGCCTGTCGACATGTCACGATGAAGGTAGCGGGGTAGCAGTTCTTTGGGCTGTTTTCTCAGAAGTTCACAGCAGTCCCTCAGAAGTCACAGACTTTTGGGAGAGGATCGCACGCTGCTTTTTCTTCTCTTCCAAAATCTTGCCATTGATTCATCGATCCTGCGCAGTATTGCTGGTCTAGAGCAGGTAAAGGTGGTGAGGAAGCGCAAAGATGCAGCGGCAGCCAGTTCGTCAGCTCCCAAACCAGTCACTTGGCTCTGTAACGGGGTGGCAGGTTCTCGGAAAATGCAATCCCATCTGGCATGAGGCAGAAACAGCTGCAGATGCTGCAAAGCCTCTCATCCGACGACAGGAAGCCAGACGGAAGGCCAAGGCGAAGGCCGGCACCGAAAAGACACCAGTGGAGAATTTGGAGATTGCTTCTTCTCTCTTGTGACTCTCTATGAAAGGAACACCTGGCTCCCGTCATAGGCTCACAAGGAAGAGCTTTTGCAAATAGAATCCATGTCTTGAGGTTGGACCAAGTGTGCGAATGTCTAGAGTCTAGCTTTCAGGAGCCCTTGTCTGTTGCTGAACGCCAAGCGAGAAACTTGGGCAGCACATACCACACAGGGGATTCAGTGCGGGACCAGTGACGGAAAAACACACGCAGAGATATACTCTACAGATCTATATGTAGACTGTATTTTATAACATAATTTTTTTCTTAATTATATGATATATGCATGGTTTCAACGCATACATGGGTTGCGTGCACACCAAGCAGGCTCAAGCCTCGACCAACTTCGCAAGTATGGCCAGTTGAACTGGCAGTTCCGCAAGGGACTGCACAGGGGTGAGGACGGCGAGGATGCCTTTTCGTTTTCTTTCGGTTGAACCGGACGGATGACTACAAATTGACAAAAGCCACTCCAGTTTGTTGCAGCAGAGCTAGGTGAGGGTAGTCTGAATGCGCCAAGGAAACAAGCGCCTGGCGAAACAGTTTCAGGAGGAGCAACTTCGTTCATCTTTTGGCCGTTCCAGAGACTACGAAGCGGAAGGCCAGAAGAGCCTTGGTCGCAGCTCGCAACGTGTCGTGACCCAAGCATAGCCACAAGGCACAAGCCTGGCATGTTTCTCCTGACTTCCAAAAAATTGCCAACTTTGATCCAATGCGGTGTCATGACCAAGGAAAGACTTGATCCCCGAAGAGTACCCTGGCCCATACTTCGGTTGTGTTGTGTGTTGCCAGGTTCGTATTTCCAACGATTCATTACCTGGATTGATTTTATTTGGTCCGATACGCTACCCGCTGTAAAAACCCAGTCTCGCGGCGCATTAATCCGGAACATCTGTTTTAAGTTTAAACTCTAAAAGCTGTTTGCCACTTCAAGCATCTATAGTCAGTCGATGTCAGTCGGTAGTCTGAAACCAAACTCAAAACTGAAAACCACCATGCAGACCACTGAGGTTTAGGGAAGATCCGCAAGAAGTGGCCCCTACCAGGAGAAAGGTAGAAGCCTCAAGGCCTTGGGTGACCTCCTTGTAGCTGGAGCTGCACGGAAACGTTTGCAGTTGAGCAGGGATGCCAGGTAGGGTAGCGATCTTCAGTGCACTTGGAGCTGTACGGTTGATATCATCATTTGGGTATTGATGCGCTTTGAAAGAAAGAGGTCAAGCTTGAATGAAATCAGTCCCTTTCTCCTTCCCCATATTGGAATCCTTTTGAGGCAATAATGTTTAGGGCGTGTGCAAGTAGGCGATGTGGTGCGCAATCCCTTGTGACAAAAGGGCCGGGCTGATCCATTTTTATAGGATTCTTGCCTTGGCTGGCTCTGCCCGGATCCTTGGCTGAGGTGAACAAGCTCGAGGACAACGTCCAATCTTTGTCCAAGAAGCCTGACATTCAGATGTCCGATCTCCTCCTAAAGGTGCAGAGATTGATTGGGCTTTGCAAGATACCCTTCTTCTTATTCTTATTCTTGTTCTTCTTGTTCTTCTTGTTCTTGTTGTTGTTGTTGTTGCTGTTGGTGTTGTTGTTGTTGTTGTTGGTTGTTGGTTGTTGGTTGTTGGTTGTTGGTTGTTGGTTGTTGGTTGTTGGTTGTTGGTTGTTGGTTGTTGGTTGTTGGTTGTTGGTTGTTGGTTTGTTGTTCGTTGTTCGTTGTTCGTTGTTTGTGTTTGTTGTTGTTGTTGTTGCTGCTGCTGCTGCTGGTGTTGTTGTTGTTGTTTTGGTGCAGAGCCAGGTCAGGTTCAACAGGGTTTCGGAGAAGGTTCCGGAGAAGGTTCCAGGAAGCCTTGTTGCAAAGCCAAGTCAGGTTCAAGGGGCTCCGAAGAAGGTTGCAGAAGCCAAGCCAGGTCAGGTTCATTTATATAATTCACGGAAACCCAGCTGAGGTGTTTCCAGCGCTTGACTTCCCAGCACGCTTTCGAAAGATTTGTAAAAATAAGACGCTGCGGCTGTTGGGGACACCACCGAAGCTTATATTCACTGTATATATTTATTTGTTGTCGTTGTTGTCGTTGTCGTTGTTGTTGTCGGTTGTTGTTGTTGTTGTTGTTGTTGTTGTCGTCGTCGTCGTCGTCGTCGTCGATGTCGTTGATGTTGATTCAGATATTGATGTTGATGTTGTGGTGGTGGTAGTGGTGGTGGTGGTGGCGGCGGCGCTGCTGCTATGGCTTCTGTGGCTGCTGCCACTGTCGCTGCCGCTGCCATTGGCATGGGTGTCTCACAGAGTTGGGGGGTGGTGTGCTTAGTTTCCACACAATTTCTCTTAGACCTCTTTTGAAGGCTTGTTGCGCCACTTTGCTGGTTCCCTGTGCTATTTTGTTTTTACACTGGTGTATGACATAAAAGCGTGTTGAGTTGAGCTGCCAGGTCCTCAACAACATGAAGAAGAAGTGAGCCAGGAATGCTGGGGTTGAGCCACGCGATGGATTGTAATTCATGAAGCTGTGGTTCTTGCATGTTCTTGCTCAAAGAACAGTGGGCATAGCACAACCCTGGATAGAGTTGGCTCCAGAGCGCCTCGGGCACAGCTGTGCCGCTTTGCTGTGCAATCTTCGGGGCATCAGGGTAGGTCCACTACTGTTGGAAGAACACATGTAGGATGAACTGCGAACCGGTTTAAAAAAAATACATAGGAACATGTTTTCTTTCAACTACCCAAGAGGGACTCGGAACAACGATGACAAATACACAATTATGATCAATTATGACGACAATTGTTGTGACCCCGTGTAGTGATGCCCCTTTGCGCCTTCGTTTCGATCATCGGCGTGGCAGCGATGCGATGTCTAGCCTAGCAGTTGACCGCTCACCCACTGTTGCCATGCATGACGTCAGTCGGCCACGGCTATCAGTTGGCTGGTGCAGTGGGCGGTTGGCATGGTGTAATCGGCGTCCGCTGGAATTGGGACAGCACCCGGCGGCATGAGTTACAGCAAGCGGATCCAAAAAGTCTACGGAGTGAAGGAGTATGTAGCAGGTGATCAGGATTCTATGGCGATTTGGTATACTTTTTGTCCCCCTCGAAGTGGAGGCTAAGCCCATTTGAATTTCAGGGTCGGCAGTTCCCGACCTTAGTTCATCCGGACCAAGGCACTGGCACAGTAAAGGGCTATGATTCCACTTCTGGACGCTACCAGGTGCAGTGGATGGTGTCAGCTTGGAGCATATGCTGATAGCATTTGATGGCTTCATGACTTATATATATGTCCAACAGTTTTAGTGGACCACCGAAGCCTTCCGTTTTCTTGCGGTTTCCCGCGTTCGTTCTTCACAGTTGGGCTGCTGACTTATCAGGTGGAGGTAGAGTCGTAGCGGCCTGAGCTCATTCTTGGAATCTTGGCAGAAGATCTGCGAAATGTTGCAGAAATCTCGTTGGATCAGGCTTGGTGGTGAGATCGTCCCAATGTCGCAGCGACCTCACGTCGGAAAAATGGAACAGAAATGACACAGAATCTCATAAAAGGATTCTCCAAATGTCTGCCACAATCTCCTGAGGCTCCGGGAAGAATACATGCAGGCGCCGTGTCAAGCACAAATGGTTGAGATTAAAACTGAGCAAAACCTTTGAGGTTTCCCCAGACAGATGGGCTTTCAAGCAGGCCATGCAAGGTTTTGATTTGAAGTCCTGTTGCTGGCCTTGGTAAGCTCCGCTGCTTCAGTGTGGTTCATCGAAGGTGCTGGAGTCTCCAGCGGTGCAGGCGCAGTGAAGTAATGGAGACCATCAGCAACTCTCGACAGCTTTACTGTACCATTTCTACCTTACTTGGAGGTTTATTTGCCAAGAGGGAGGTGCTGTTGGCTGTTTCAAGGCTCCTGCTCCAACTGTGCCGATCCAGCCACCTCCGCCTTTGCCTGGAGGCAGGGCCCAGGGGAACAGACTGGACATTGGCAAGCTACAATGCAACAGATGTATATGGGCAGTGTACTTGAACGATGCAGGGGTTGACTTTTGCAATGACACTTCGAAGCGTTGTAAAACAGGATTAACTGGATCAATAAGTCAAGGCTGTTTTGAACCACTTGGTAGTTGAAACCGTCCGATATTCAAACAGACACAACGTTTTAGCCCACACATTGCAGTCCAAATGAGCTCCTGGTGCCAGGCAGCAACAGCCAAGGATTACAAAAATCAGCCGCAGATGCATTGAGGTTGGGGCTCACTGTCTTTCAATCACGTGGACTCGGGTATGCTGTGTGCGCCCAGTATTTTGTGGCCAGAGAGAGAGAGAGATACAGAGACACAGAGACACAGAGAGACAGAGACAGAAACAGAGACAGAGAGAGAGAGAGATGGTTTTGACCGTGGAGAGGGTTTATTGGGCCGCAATTTTGACGCTATTTTATGTAATTGAATTGCTCCTTTGTCTCTGCCATCATTGTGAGGCGCTTTGGATTGGGAGGTTATGGGCCACAGCAAGGACAGGGTCAGCAAGGCGGCAACTGGCAGGGGTCCTCAGATGCCAAGGGATGCCAGCAGCATTGCCTTGCAGTGGTTGGTTGTTCCCCAAACAGTGTGTCCACACTGAGAGGTTCTTACGGTAAAGGTAAAGGGCCGGGGTTAGATCAGGGTGCTTCATCATCATAAGGTCCTTGGCAATTTCACCGTAAATTCTCGCACAAAAGTTCCCTTGTGAGATATCCATGTGCATTTCGACTGCCCCGGCTCGCACAAGATGGGCGGTGCGGTTTTGTCTCTTCCGAAGGTCTCCGTGCTCGTTTTTGGAGCTATGTCCATTTTGCGTGGCAGGCGTTTGAGGTCTGGAACGTCGTTTTGCGTGACAGGCGCAGGACATCGGACACTTTTTCATCCATGTGGCAGGCGTGGCACTTCTGGACGTTGCTAAAACATCTAAAACGTTGGCAGGCCTCGGCCAAAACGACAGGTGGTTTTTGGAGGTCATTTTTCGTGGCAGGCACGGTATTTGGTGAATTTGGATGTCGTTTTGAAAGGGTCCACAGGTTTGTGAAACCGTCGTCATTTTTGATTTTGGGACATGCTGATCCCATGCGGCAGGTGCAGCACTTCAGATGCCTCGGGCTAATTTTTCGTGCCAGGCGCAGTATTTTGTAGACCTTGATAAAAAAGTGGCTGAGACCTAGGTAAGACGTTTCTTTTGACATTTTCATTGTTCATGTTCAGTGGTGCGCGCAATGTTTGTAAATATCAAACATGTGCCGGTGCACTCGCGGACCCTCTCGGCACTTGGTGCGTGTCGGATTGCTCTCGTTGTGGCGCGGTGCTAATCTTAGCTGATTCCTTGAGATGTTGGTAAAGAAATTTTACGAATTCCCTGGAAGGCTTTCTATGGCGATCATGAGCTTTATGGTGCAGTCTTGGAGGTCCGTGCTCTTCTCGAAGCTCTTGACCAAGGTCTTGTAGAGGTCCTTGTGAGAAGGTGTTGTGAAGGTCCTGATGAAATCCTGTCAGCAGTCCTTGCATGATCTTGTGCAGGTTCTTATGAGAAGATTTTGCGAAGATCCTGCTAACATCTCCGAAGAGATCCTTGCATGATCTTGCACAGGTCCTTTTAGGAAGATCTTGTGGAGATCCTTGTGAAGTGCTCTCTAAGAGGTTCTTGCATGATCTTTGTACAGGTACATTGTGAGAAGATCTTGTGGAAATTCTGGTAAGGTCCTTCCCAAGAGGTCCTTGCATGAAGATATGAAGATCTTGCAGGTGCCATGTGTTAGAGGTGCTTGTCTGAAAGCTCTTCTGGGAGCTCTTTAGAGGTTCTTGTATCAAGACCTTGTAAGATCCTCTCCAGCAGCAGGTTATTTCATGACGATCTTGTAGGATTCTCTTCGGGGTCCTGGCAGGAAGATCTTGGTCAAGGTCTTTTCCAAGTCCTTGTGAGAAGCTCTTGTAGAGAGCCTGGTGAAATCCCCCAAGAGGTCCTTGCATGATCTCGTGTAGGTCATTGTGAGACGGTCTTGTGGAGATCCTGTTGAAATCATCCTCAAAAGGTCCTTGGATTGAGGTCTTGAAGATGCTCTGCATTGGTGGACAGGTGATTCCTTGTATGAAGACCTTGTCTTTGACTATCTTTGGAATTCTCTTAGATGTCCTTGTATGAGGTTCTGGAACGATGTCCTGGTGAGTAGGCATAGCGTTGCTTCTTGTGCCAAGAGAAATTCCTGCTGCTGCAGTTCCGATAATGTTTAACCGGATGTGTTACTGTTCCATAGCTGCTGTTGCTTGTGTCCGGCACATTGGGGTGTCTTTTCTCTTGCTTTTTCTGACGATCATATGATCCCGTGTGGTCTCACTTAAGCATGTTGATACCCATGTAAACACATCAAAAATCATAAATGTGAATATGACTTTTATTTATTTATACGTGTGTATGCGTGGATTATATGCAGACACACACGCACACACACACATATATATATATATATATGTACACACATATATATATATGTACACACACACATATATATATATGTACACACACAATATATATATATGTACACACACACATATATATTTACACACAATATATATATATATATATATATATGTGCATACACACGTTCCCCCTGTAAGTTTGTCTGTCCCTGAGGATGGGAAACCAACAGATGCAAGGCCCAGTATGGCTACAGATTGGGGATGCCTCCAGCTGTGTAGAAATGCAGACGCTGCAAAACGGTGATGAATGCACTTTTCTTTTGCAATCTTCAACTATAACCAGTCAATCTGCACCAGAAGGTGCAGTGACATTTTGTAGCATTGAGCTTGTCATGGAATGGCCATGGTGCAGGTGCTAGCCTGCCAGTGGCTCAGTCACTTGATGGTGCGGACCTATCAAGAAGTGAACGGTCTAATCAAACTGGAACTTGTTTGGAGAAGCAAGTGATGCGTGAATGTTTCCAATTGAAACGTCAAATGTGTCATTTTCTGAACTACTGAGGCAAGAAACTGCTGCGCGCCAGCTGCAGGTGTGGTTTTTGGAATTAATTCTTATTGACCAGCAGAAAGTTTTGCAAACAGTTTTCAAGAAAGGACCGCGTGTGCAGTTTGAGGCCATGCAGCAGCAGCAACAGCGGCAACAGATGGCTCAGGCGCAGCAGCAAGGCCTGACACTTAGTGGTGACGGAGGCTTTGGCAAAGAGACATGTACAAATGGTCATGCAAAATTGCAACTTTTAGACGAAAATTTCCTCATCAAAGGGAGTTGGGAAGCAATCGTCCGAGTTACGAATGACTTTTGCCTGATGAAGGGTGGTGTGAGACTTTACATCTGATGACTTTTACCTGATGAAGGGTGGTGTGAGACTTTATATCTGATGACTTTTACCTGATGAAGGGTGGTGTGAGACTTTACATCTGATGACTTTTGCCTGATGAAGGGCGGCGTGAGACTTTACATGTAATGACTTTTGCCTGATAAAGGGTGGTGTGAGACTTTACATGTAATGACTTTTACATGATGAAGGGTGGTGTGAGACTTTGCATCTGATGACTTTTACCTGATGAAAGGGAGTGTGAGACTTTACATCTGATGACTTTTACCTGATGAAGAGTGGTGTGGGACTTTACATCTGATGACTTTTACCTGATGAAGGGTGGTGTGGGTCTTTACATCTGATGACTTGTGCCTGATGAAGGCTGGTGTGGGACTTTACATCTGATGACTTTTACCTGATGAAGGGTGGTGTGAAACTTTGCATGTGATGACTTGTTGGCTTAGGGAAGTGGCGACTGAGGGAAGGGTTCGCCTAGGGAAGTGGTGGCTGCAGCCGGCGATGAAAGGTACATCCTGTGCGCAGTGGGTGCGGACCGTTCGTGCTGACGTGTGATTGGTGCTCCCTTGGTGTTCTGCAACGTGTGGTTGTTCATGTGTGCGTAAGTTTATGTGCTTGTTGAATCGCAGGTTGCAAATCGCATTGTAATGGATGTATTGGCATGAACCTTGCGTGGGACCTGTGTTGGGAAGGAAGCCGGAGCACGAAACCGAGTGTTTTGCGTGTAGAGTGGCTGCAGCCAGCGATGAAAGGTACCTCCTGTGTGCGGCGTGAGCAGACCATTCGTGTTGACGTGTAAGTAATTGGTTTCTCCTTGGTGTTCTGCAACGTGTGGTTGTTCATGTGTGCGTAATTATATGTGCTTGTTGAATCGCATATTGCTAATCGCAATGTAATGGCTGCATGAATCTTGCGTGGGACTTGTGTTGGGGAGGAAGCCGGGGCACGAAACCTTGTGTTTTTCCGTGTGTAAAATGGCTGCAGCCGGCGATGAAAGCTACCTCCTGTACGCGGCGGGTGCGGACCGCTCGTTTTGATGTGTGATTGGTTTTCCCTTGGTGTTCTGCAACGTGTGGTTGGTTCTGCAACGTGTGGTTGTTCATGTGTGCGAAGTTTTATGCGCTTGTTGAACCACAGGTTGCAAATCGCATTGTAATGGCTGCATGAATCTTGCGCGGGACTTCTGTTCGGGAGGAAGCCGGGGCACGAGACCGTGTTTTATTCGGTGTGAAATGGCTGCAGCTGGCGATGAAAGGTAGTGCTGTGTGCCGCGGGTGCGGGCTGGGTTCCGCCAGGTCTTGGAGCAGTCCGCAGTGTAATGGCTAGTTCGATGTGCATCGCGTGTTCTTACGCATTGCAGTTACGTGTGGTATTTTGGAAGCTGTGGTTGCGAAACGCATTGTAATGGCCGCATGAGTGTTGCATGTGGTCTGTTGTGGGGAGGAAGCCGGAGCACGAAACCTTGCGTTTTTCCGTGTAAAGTGGCTGCAGCTGGCGATGAAAAGTACCTTGTGTGTGCAGCGGGTGCGGGCAAGAGTAGTCCGCAGTATAATGGCTAGTTCGATGTGTTTCGCGTGTTCCTGCGCATTGCAGTTCCATGGTGTTTTGAAAGCTGTGGTTGCGAAACGCGTTGTAATGGCTGCATGGGTGTTACATGGGGTTTGTTGTGGGGAGGAAGCCGGAGCACGAAACCTGGTGTTTTTCCGTGTAAAGTGGCTGCAGCTGGCGATGAAAAGTACTTTGTGTGTGCAGCGGGTGCGGGCTGGGTTCGGCCAAGTCTTGGAGTAGTCCGCAGTGTAATGGCTGCTTCGATGTGTTTCGCGTGTTCCTGCACATTGCATTTTCATGGTGTTTTAGAAGCTGTGGTTGCGAAACGCATTGAAATGATTGCATGGGTGTTACATGGGGTTTGTTGTGGGGAGGAAGCCGGAGCACGAAACCTGGTGTTTTTCCGTGTGAAGTGGCCGCAGCTGGCGATGAAAGGTTTGTAGTACAAGGGAAGTACCTTGTGCGAGCTTTGTAGTACAAAGTAGTGCTGGCGCGTGCTTTGTGCAAGCTTTGTAGTTCAAAGTAGTACTGGGGAGTATTTTGCGCAAGCTTTGTAGTACAAAGTAGTACCGGGACGTGCTGTGTGCAAGCTTTTTAGTACAAAGTACTGGGAAGTGCTTTGTGCAAGCTTTGTAGTACAAAGTAGTACTGGAGCATGCTTTGTGCAAGCTTTTTAGTACAAAGTAGTGCTGGGAAGTGCTCTGTGCAAGCGTTGTAGTACAAAGTAGTACTGGGACGTGCTTTGTGCAAGCTTTGTGGTACAAAGTATTTTGTAAAGATTCTTCTGTGTAAATGCATTTGTGTCTCAAGCTTTCTGACGTGCAGGAGAGCCGAGATGAGTTGAGACGAGCTTCGGTGAAATGAGAAAGGTTGAGCTGTGCTCAGATGAAAGGAAAATAGTTAAGAAGAACTTAGTCGCCGACATATGCGAAGACATGAAGAGATGAGAAGAGCTCAGATGAGATGAGTTGAGATAAAGTGCGGAGTGTGAGGTGCAAGTGTGAAGTGTGGAGTGCGGCGTGTGAAGAGTGCAGTGCGAAGTGTGAAGAAAGTGTTCGCTTGGCGTTGCATTGCAGCGTGGTCGCGCGCAGGTCATGATCTTGGACAACAACAGCGCAACAGGTTCGCACAAAGCACGCGCACAGGGGCCTGGCTGGTGCACGGCGCATGCAAGTTCTATAGATGAAAAAGGCTTTGTAGTATATCCAGTATAACCCTAAGGCAACTTCCGCCCCGCGCGGGTACTACTGGTAAGCCCCTATAGATATTACGATTACTGTGTTATATAAGGGTGGACATTTTCCAGGGTGGATGATTTTGAGAGATTTGGAGAGTAAAAACAGCTTCTACTCTGCCCAGCTTTGTGGTTGTGAGCAGGGGGGAGGGGCTAATTCTCTTCCAGCTTGGCTGAGGCATGCCCAACATGGGGAAAGGCATGGGAATGATGAGGCATGGAGCACACCTTGCCATGTGCTGCGTGTATTCTGTTTGTTTTTTTCTTTCTTGGCCCATGTCCAAGGATATTCGTCCTTTCGGCTCTTCAGTTGTGACATCTGTGTTGTTCATACCTGACGGCTGACAGCACGTTTGCAAGAGGAACCGCCCCAAATTAAGGCAAAGCGCTCCAAAAGACAGAGCCGCAAGCATGGGCGCACACACACACACATAACAGATTAGCCCAGACACACAGGGTCACAGAGCGCCAGAATCACACAATTTTCCCTTCCAACATGATCCCATGGGACCATTCTGGCGCTCCACTGGACCGGTGGGCGCTTTTGAAGGATCATCGCCATGCTGTGGCTAAACCAAGTTAGACATTGTCTTTGTTGAATAATTTTCTGCTGGGTACAGCATGTTTTTACCATTGACCCTACCTTTTCCACATGTTCGGTTCCCAGTCTCTTTCATCCCTTTTTGACAATTATAATGATGATCATCATGATCATCATGATCATCACGATCATCATCATCATCATCATCACCATCGTGACTCTTTGCACATTCTATTTAGTCTGTGGTTTTTGCCACATTTCCTCAAGAACCTTTTCATATGTAGTCAGATAGACTGCATCACGATGCAATGATGTTTTTTGGACCTGCAGATGTATTAGCAGCTTGACTTGGAGACGCGAAAACAAGCAGCGGCTGTTTTGAAGTAAGAAGGCTTCATTCATATTCATTCATCATTTTCCAGCGCTGCCTGTCCTGGATAGCTAGCAGCCCCAGGTCGAATCCCTACGCCAGCAGGCAAAGGATGTGGACCCCAATCTTCTTGAATGGGAAGACCAGGACGCCACAGCGTGCTGCTGGAACCCCAAAGGTCACCCTCCAACAGATGCCTTGTGGGTTGTGACACCATGATCAACCCCCATTCCTTGTGAGTCAGTGCCTCGCCCTTCATGAGCCGACCAGGAGCTGCTGGCCTATCTCCGGGCGGTAGACTTTGATCAGGGCAAGGCTTTGGCGAGAATCTCTGAATCCAATGCGTGGCACATGGCGATGCAACTGCAGGATTCAACTTGATGTGCAAATGATATTATGCCACTACAAAAAGGAATCTGAGCATCCTTGTCCTGACTCTGATCAGGAATATCCTTCTCTCTCGGCGCTTTTTAGAGTGGGCATCTAGAGTCGCCAATTGCGGCCAAACCTGTGTGTGTAACCTGACCTTCTAATGACTTTGCAAGAAGCTTGCCGCCATGCCTGAATGAGGAGAAAGTCCAAAGCGAAATATGGACTGCCAAAGAGCGGGACATGCGAAGGATTTTGCTTTACGATTCTTGTCTTCAAGAAGCAAGAGTGAATCTTTTGATTTTATGTGATTTTCGTATCCTGTTTCGAGTGGACAGACTCCTGCTGCGAGGGCACTCTGCACCAGAGAAAAATGATCCACGATGATCCACTTGCTAGGACTACATCGGGCTGGACCAGCACGGCCGCCCCATGCTACTGGAAAGAGTAGGGGCATGGATCATTGGCTCCGTGCTGGAAGCTACAGAGGATTTGGAAGAATTCCAGATTTTACATGCTATGGCCTATGAAATCCTAAGACAAATCGAAAGGCCAGAAGGGATCCGAGACCCTCGTGGCATTGTTCTGATCATGGATTTGAATGGGCTCCCTGGCTGCAGAGACTTGTAAGGATGGTCCACTGTGAAATGGATTCAGAAAGCAGAATTTCCACTGTGGTTGGTAACGGTCATGTTGCAGATTCTAGCCATCTGCTGTTTAGTTTTCACACACGACTGGTCCATATTGATACAGTAACCGGGTGAAAATCTCATCCCCCGAATATCAGACCACCCTACAATACCAATCCAGTGGTTTCCAGGGGGTATTCACATGCATTTAGAATTAGATGGTGGGAAGGGATTATTTGACGACATTTCACCTCTTTTGAAGGCTCACCATGCGACACTTGAGCCCGCGACTGGTGTCGGTGTTCAGAGCTGTCAGCGAGAAACTTGGCCGCTTGCGGGTCATGGCTGGAACATTATAAAACCAGCTTGACAAGGGGCATGCCAGGTGCAACAAATCTGTGACGACGACCCGGTATGAAACGCAAAAGCCATGACATTTTCTTTCATTTCATACATATTCATACTGTCATGTTTATCTGTTTATCATGTTTATCCGAAGCTCATTTAATAAACTTCACGTGCGAGTGCCTCCAGCGGCTTGTGGGTTTCCTTATGCCTCCAGCGGCTGAGGGCAGATGAAACACATTTTCCAGACACCGTTGCGCACATCTTCGTGGTAAATGCTCCCTGGGTGTTCTATGCCTTGCACCCCGGCCGTGCAGACACCTGGAAAGTCGCCGTTTGTTTCGCCATAGGTACACATAATGTGGCATAATGCACATATGTGTTTGATTGTATTTGGCTCTGTGCTTTGATGGAGCTTTCCCCCCTGTCCCAGCAACAGTGTATTTTTTGCTGAGGTTTGCAATGATCCGACCGTTCCTGTGCCTTGTTTGCTAAGCATTGGCACCTCAAGTTTCCAGTGGATGACAGACGGGGCTTCAGATGAAATGAGCACCGGCCCCCGAGTATCGATAGATCCAGGGTTCGCTGGTTGATCCGTTGATCAAAAAGATCTCAGGAATGAAGACACCTTGACGAAAGTGCACTTCAGCAACGAGGCCTCTTGACGAAGACAGGCCGTCGAAAGTTTCTGCAATTTTTGACTTTTGGTGTAAACAGATTTTCACAGCTTAGGAACGTGGCATAATGTGGCACAGCCAATAAGAAACCTTACCCAACTGTACTAGATATGGGTAAAGATTGATCCCCAATTTGGAGGTTGATGGCATTGGGCTTACACCGCCTTTACCACATTTGCTCCCAGCGATTCTTCAGCTTGTTGCAGCTGAGGTACCTGCCGACATCACCCACTATTTGGGCGAAGACTGCCTCCCATGCGAGCTGCGTGGCACCCGTGGCAGGGCTGCAGCTGACAGCAGAAAGCCAACAGTGCTGATGAGTTGTTTTGGACAGTCTGGGGTTGGAAAGCCTGAACTTTTCAAGAAATATTATTTCCTCTTCTCGATAGAAATCACATCAAATCACAGTAGGTACCAGCTTAGGGCCTTTGATTCATAGAAAAGACAATGCGCTGCTTAGATAATTTTTTATTGTTAATTTCCCTTGAGCTGTAACAGGGTGTTTTGCTAAAAAAGACCCCCAAATGGCGCACCATGAATTCACGATTTTTTCATAAAAGGATTACGGCAGTTTGCAAACATGTGGGAAGCTTTGGATTACAAAGCCGGTCGATTCAGCTCAACTGTAGCAATTTCTGGGTGTCACACATCACACATCACAAATTCAAGATGTGCGCTGTTCTTGGCTCAGTCCGGATTTTTTTTGCTTGCTTGCGCCAACCTCTGGATTGGAGTAGAGAAAAGCTATAAATTCATCGTGCTCCAAATGGTGCTTCAAATCGTTTTTTTTTCCCTGGGGGTTGCTATTTTGCTAGGAAAAACATGGAAAAACTACAATTAATAGCACTACTGTATGTTTTGCACCATATTTTTGTTTTGGCATTTCCTCATGCAGCACCTGACACATGTTTTGTGTATTTCTTCGATTTCTTCGTGCACCAAATCGTGCTCTTTTTTGCCTTTCTTCGTGCGCCATAATCGTGTTTTTCTCTGCGTTTATTCGTGCACCAAGTCGTGATCTTTGTCGCATTCCTTCGTGCAACCATATCGTGCTTTTCTCTGCATTTCTTTGTGCACCAAATCGTGCCCTAAATTGTGCTACTGTTACAGGCCATGGGAAAGACACAAATTATGTATGTATTATGTATCTATGTAACGTAATGTAATGTGATGTGATGTCACTGTCTTGTATTGCATTCTATTGTATGTATGCATGTATGCATGTATGTATCTATCTACGCGCATGCATACACACACACATATTATATATATTATATATATAATATTTGTAAATATATATAATATATATGACATTTGTAAATATATATAATATATTAAAATACAACACAATATACTAAAATAAAACTTAAATATAATATAATATAATATAATTTAATATACCATAATAATACAATATAATATAACATAATAGAATATATATATATAATATTATATTATATTGCATTGTATTATATTAATTTATACCATACTATATTATATGAAATTACATTTTACTATATTATATTCAATATTATATGATATTATATTATATTGCATTGTATTATATTACATTAAGTTATATTATATTAAATTAAATTATATCAAATTAAATTAAATTAAATTATATTATATTATATTATATATATACACGCTCGAACAAGTGGATGGTTCAACACATGCATTGAACTATTGAACACAATTTGACTGTCCCAGCACCTGGACACACATCTGAAACCACGCGCCCTTGGAACCTTAGAACCCTGAAACCTTCGATCCAGTCCCAGTCATAAGCCCAGAATCACAACTTGACGGCAGCCACGTCGAAGCGCTTCACCAAGGTCTTGGAATTTTCCCATACGACCTCACAGCATCGCAGTCAGAGCATCCCAAACAGACTGGCTAAATGTGCCGGTCAAATTGATGGTGGCTAAATGTGCCGGCGAAAATTGGTGCGATGGGCCATGCACCACGAAATTGCAGATCTTGGTAGGTCCAGTGGCCGGTTGAACCCTCCAACAAGTAGGAAGTAGGGGCACCTCCCTTGGAGTTGGAAAGCCACCGGCAGAGACAGAATTCTCATGATTTTTTCGCGTCCTCAGAAGGTGGCCTTCATTTTCATTGGCACGGCAAGGGTAAGGGGTGAACCCGGATGAGCTGGTTGTTAGCTTATTCATGCTTATTCCCAAACAATTTTTTGTGCTTCCGTGGGTGCCTTGTGCAGGCCGGATGCGTCTGGCATGCCCGGCATAATGGGTGTAGCAAACTCAGCCGTCGGCAAAACCTCAGATTCCAAAGATTTCATGTCCAAGCTGGCCATGAGGCTGGTGGTCAATTTGGACCACCTGGTGGTCCTGGTGCCAACCCTCAACCTGGTGCCCCTGGACCCAACCCTCAACAGGTACATGGTGTGATGCATTTGGGTTTTGTAGTGCTTATGGTTTGATGCTTTTGAAGGAAGTGCTTTGAAATCGATCGAACTGGAATTTTCGAATTTGGTGCCCGCATGATCCAATGATTGACCAGTTGAACTGGCTTTCAGATTCCAAGATTCCGGCCCCTGCAGGTAAGGCCGCCAATGGACATGATGCGTGGCCCCAACAAGCTTGGACCAGAAATGGGGAATCAGCTTGCACCTCAAGAATGAACAAACTTGCAGGGCACGAGCATGCCGGGCACATGTGCTGGTCATGTAAGAGCTCTTGCTTTTTGGTAGCCTCTTGTTGCCTTGGGGTACCCCACGTGAAAAACATTGGTACTTGTTGATGAAGCTGCGGACCAGGTGCCTGTGACCTATGTATGTATCACAATGGTTCACACTCTTTCTGATTTCCACATTTTTGTTTACAGTCCGAAGCTGATCCTCGAAGAGATGAGGCCTTCCCAGATGCAGATGCAGCCACCACCAATGCCTCAGCAGCAAGCTGCCCAACAAATGCAGGCAGTTTAAGCTCTGAATGGCCCAGTGCGAATAGCGCCAGGTGTTGCACCTGTGAAACCATAAGTAAAGTATTCTGGGATCTGGTCAGTACCTATTTGTTCGAAGGCGCAACAGAGGCCAATGCAAGGCATGGCGCTTGGGCATACTTGCAGCTCTTGGAAAATCGGCAACACACTAGTCACTAAGCTGTTTCCAACTTCAGTGTTTCTGAGGAAGGGTGTTAGGATGGGGTCAGAATGAAGGGCAGAGAGATCATGACACTTGCTGCTTGGCAGGTCAAATGTGTGGAGCCCCAAAACCTTTAACGGCCGCAATGTCCTCACATGGATTTGACTTGGGAACAAGGGTCCTGATGAACCAAGGCTGCAGCCAGATGACATGCAGCAGCAACAACAGCAACAGCAGCAGCAACAGTTCGGGCACCTGGTGAAATTTGTCAGTTTTGCATGATTGTGTTCAGAATGACAACTTTTTTCCAAACTCACAAGCTCAAACCTGCTGACCACTCGGTGAGCACCAGCTTCGAAAATCTGCCCAAGGATGTTGATGCGACAGCAGCAGATGCAGCAGATGCAGCAGCAGCAACAGCAGCAGCAACAGCTGCAGCAGCAGGGACGCCCTGACGTGGATCGAAGGCCTCCAGGACCTCCAGGCCCTGCAGGCCCACAGGGACCGCCTGGACCACCCCCGATGCCTGCTATGCCCAAGCAGTCCCGGCTGGGGCCCCTAAAAGACTGCTGTCAAAGTGCAGGTGGAACTGGAAAGATCAAGAAACAAGAAAAACAAATTGGAATGATTTAGATGATTGAGATGATTAAGGCAGTGGTGCTGTTGTGTTTAGCTTTTGCCCATTGGAGTTCCATTTGGATCGTGCAGCCAAGTCCAACCATCACCACGTGGCCAAAGTGGCCGGTGAATGTCTCGCGCCTAAGGGCCCCACAGCCGCCGCCAAAGCCTGCGCCACGGAAGCAGACAGAGCTCAGCCCAGGGTGTGGAGCCCAGAGGCCGTCTCATCTGGCCACTGCCCAGGCGAGAGAGTTCCGTTACGAATGTCCAGCCTTATGATTGTGGAGTTTAAGCAGCAATAGCAAACAGTTTTTGCAGTTTGCGGTTTCTCCAGCTCGGTATGACAAGTGCTGATCGAGTAATTTCCAGCAAGTTGAAACCAGCAGCATTTCATAGTTGGTGGTGGCCTAAAGTGGCTCGCTGAATGCAAGGTCCACTGCCCCCGAAGGTCGTTGGATGCTCAGTGAGGGCTAGATGCTGCTTCAGGTCCAAAAATAATCAAACATCAAACTGGCGAGGCCCCGGTCAGATCTGGGTTGTGATGCAAGCGACTCAGATTTTCCCAAACATGTAGCAGTGTAACACAAAGGTGATGCACAGAGACCCTCCGAAAAAGGGCTGCCCTTACATGCATCGGACCACAGAAGCCTGATTTTGAGCATTCTTGAGCCATGTTGCAAAGTCTTCTGGCTCTTATTCCTCAGGAAGAGCCCGCACTTCAGCCACGTGATTGTGTTCTGGCCTCAGGGCCATCTTATTTTGAAAGTTCGCGCCAGTCAAAACTTCGCACAAGTGGCATGCAGGAATCTGCCGCTAGTATCAACATGTAATGCCAACCTCGGATCACAACTAAGGCGAGCCTCACAGGAAGTGACAAGTCGGGAGCTGCGCCGTGTGCTTCCTGGCGAGGCAGCAAACGGGGATCAGCCACATGGGTTAAGTGCATGAGTGCATCCTGATAGAATGGACAAATGATGGAAATGAGGCTAGCTCGTGTTTGTTTGTCATAGTTTATATACTTGAAAAAATGTGGGGATTGATTTGTTCCGATTTTCATTGGAACTTTGTGCTGTTCCTGTTCGACATACCATATACATACCGTTGACTTCAGGGAGTTGGGCTGCAAACTGCAGTCATGTTTCTTCGCCAGGCCGTTACCCAGAGAGATATGACTGAAACGCTCCCCAACGGCCTAGTGAGAATGCCCGCCCAGAGCTTAGGAGCACCAGACATTGACACGTTCGTCACGTTGGTGGCTGGTGCTGTGTAACATTGTGTAACACAAGTTCCACACTGGAAAACCAGGCGAAAGACAACTTGTTTCCTGCATTACTCACTGATCTAGAATCTAGTGGTTTTCGGAGTAAAGGAGCTATGGCAGCTATGGGTATCCATATTTCAAAAAGGGAACCAAGGAGCTTCAATGAGTTTCCTAACCAGGCGCCGGGTTGAGGAAAGTGCAGGAGGTGTGACGTTTACTGAGGTGGAGCCAGATGGCTGGGTCACAGTGCACGCAAGGGGCCTTGGTGCAGTGGTGAGTGCTGCTTCAATGTCCAAACTGCCAAAAATGGCTTGGGGATATCAGCTACATTCAGCTACGTTCCATGTCCATGTTGGTCCGAGTCTGCATAAATATATTCATCATCTATAAACTTTTTGTTTTGGACTTGTAGGTTGGGAAACCTTGCAGTTCAAGTTGACAGAACTTACAAAGCAGCTAGTGCATGGTGAACATCTCATGAATTTTGACGTTGGTCCTTCCAATTGCTTCCGGACAGACAGGCAGACAGACCGACCAACAGATAGTTTAGACAGAGAGATGGATCAAAGCACAGACTCAGATGCACCATTTTAGCTGATGATTCCACCAAGTCGGGGTTCACTTTGTGCATGGGATCAACTGCCACTTGACCCTGCACCTGCTTGCTGCCTTCCATCAGAGGCACGTCACATCAATGGTCCCAGCTTCCTCTCCGAAGTTAACCCAGACGTGCAGGGCACTGAGAGGGCTGGGGTACTGGATGGTGGATGTGGATTTCGTTGAAGTCCCAAGGTTCAACCATGTTCCCCAAATGTTTTTTTTTGCCCTGCTGGGAAGTTGGGATAGGGGTCCACCCGCAGGTCCGCAGCTCCCCGACTTGCCATGAGGCCACAGAGGCCCAACCGTGGCGCAGACCTCGAAGACGCAGCAGTTTGAAGAGTTTTCAAGACACATCGTTGCGCAGAGCTGTCTCTTGAATCTTGAATGCCAGGCCATCAATTATTTTGTTCACATTCATTCGAGTCGCTCCGCACCCGGAGATTTGGGTAAGGTCAGAGAGGAAAGGAGCGGCCGTTCTTGGCCTAACCAAAAGCCGACTGGGGTCAAACTTCGCCTCCTTGGCCTTAAGTTGGGCCGAACAGGAGCCCACTTGGGCCCGTCAAGTTGGGCCGAAGTTGGGGCCTTGCTGGCCGAAGTTCGGGCCAATGTTGCGGCCATGTCGGATCGAAATGGTGCATTTGGACGATTTTGGGCCGATCTGCACAAGGTGCAAATTGCCACAGTCCCGTGCACTTTTTGGCGCCCCGCTCTGTCGAAAATGTCCTTCCCCCCCAGCTGGAGCTGTACCAGTCTGACAGACTCGCTGCTAAACTAACACGCCTCGGCACCTTCGGCGCGGGCGGGTTTGTTTCAAATCTGGACTGATCCCCAGAAAATACTGGAAAGCAAACCTGTTGAGACTAGCCGAGCCAGGCTAAGCCAAACCTTCCTATTTCAATCTGTTGATTCATTTGATTCCTCAGGCCGCGACGGAATGATGCAGTGGTGGCCTCAATCAGTTGGATGCCGCACGTTGGACTGTGTGGGTATGGTGCATTGGATTTTCTTCTTGTTCAGCTGTTGGAAGTTTTTTTTTGAGTGACACTTCTCGAATCAGTTCAGTTCAAGGGAGTGTTTGTTTCTGTGTTTTTGACATTTCTTGGATGAAACATGCCATGGTAGGCCGCCACCGCCTCCAGGCGACAGGAAGGCCACAAACATCGGAGTTGGTTTGCGCAGCAGTTGCTTCTGACTCACCACTGGATGAACTCAGTGAGCAGTTGGTTATTGGATGTTATTTGTTTGCTGGCTGCATGAAGGCGCCTGAATATGGCCGGGCTCCCTGGAAAAGGGTGGCAAAGGCTGGGTCCAGCAGTATATACTAAGTGGAAATGGCTGGCGATTCTGGAAATCTTAGGTACCAAACCTGTGCAAGGGCGAAAGCAAGGATCATTTTTACAATTTTGATTGGAGCAGTGATAGTGACAACCACCAGAGACCTGACCAGAGCAACTGCAGCATGGGCAGCTGTGGTACAGATGCATTACTTCAATTTACTTCATCAATGTCTAAAGCAAAGTGAGTTGTATTGCAGCGGAAGTCATGCGCCAACAAGATAACGCTTGGAAACTGCAACAGGGATGGGATTAAAAGGAAAGGCAGGAGCAGAGGGGGAAGATGACAATTTGACGACACAGAGACCTGACTGGAAGGCTGAGAAGAAACAGGGCAAAGACAAGAGCAAGAACGGTGATGCACATCAAAGGAAGAGACCATTCGATGACGGACACGGGTGATAGCTAGAAGATGCAAAATGAGCGTTGAACCAGAAGATGAGTGGAAAGGGTTTGCAAGGACAAGCGCGGCAGGCATAAAGCCAAAAGAGCAGGAAACAGAAAGGAAGAAAGAAGGAAGGAAGGAAGGAGGGAAGGAAGGAAGGAAGACCAACAAAAGAACACTAAACCGAGGAAGGAAAGAAAGACAAGGAAAGGGACATAGAAACGGAAAAACAAATGGACACCACGAAGAAGATGAAACAAACTCAGGAAGCAAAGAGGCTTTTTTGGAGGTGCTTCTCTATATCTTTCGCACAGCAGATGGCAATGCCGAGGCATCAATTCCTATCCCCGGGAGGCGGGTGGTTTGTTCATGATTCACATCCACTTACAGTATATGGGTTTGACGGACGCATTGCATCGTATTGCATAGATTCATAGATTGATGTTTTTCCTGGGTAACGTCCACTTGTCGAAAAGATGCCAGGATGACTTTGGATGGATTCTGTTGCTTTGACAGGAGTAGCCTTGGTTGCTGTGGTCATGGCGTAAAAAGTATCAAGGATTATCAAGGTCAGTTTGTTGGTTTTCAGCTGTCCCTTGCCAGACTTTGCTCATTGTGCGGGAGCGGCTGCTCGAGGGCGCAGAGGCGGATAGGGGCTGGGGCCTGGGGCGAGAGTTTGGGTATATATCGGTATAATTCGGTATATAGTTTGTTGACCAAAAGTGATTCAAATTGGCGGTTGAGTGCAAGCGATCCAAAATGATGCAAAATGCTTCGCTGATGTTCACTGTTTTTGAGCAGCCACATGAGGGATGAACCAAAGCAGGTGCCGGACCAGATGAAGGGCCTTCGCAGTATCATTGTTCCAAACTTGGGAGATCGCAAGGTGCCAGGGAGAGGTGGGCCAGGGTGACCTGAAATGGGGATTCATTTTATGCATCTAGTGCAAAGGACAAAAACAGGGATATATCATTGAAGAGCATGAGAGGGATGCAACTCTATCTCTCTATCTAGCTTTCTTTCTTTATATCTTCATCCATGTATGTTGCGTCTTGTTATCTTATGTTTTGCGAATTCTATTCTATATATTCTATTATAACTATCCCAAATTAGAAAGCTACTAGTAACTCCATTTTCATTCCATTCCATTCTATTCTATGTATATATATATATATATGTATTGTATACACCCATCACTGTGCATCGTTGTCCATTGTTGGACGTCATTGTGCATAATTGCTACTAATCATCATGTCAATGTGTAATCATTTTGAATCACATCAATGAATATGATAATGACAATGTCAATGGCAATGACAATGATATTGACAATGATAACGATAAGGATGAGACAATGATAAGATACAGATAATGATCATGATAAAGACAACATGGAACTATAGTTATCATCTTCACCTTCACCTTCACCTTCAGCTGGAGCTTGAGCTTGAGCTTCATCATCATCATCATCATCATCATCATCACCACCACCATCACCATCACGATTACGATCATGATCATGATCTGCAATGGTTTGTTTCAAAAATAGCCTTATTTGGGTCTTGATCCACAACCAGATAATTTCTAAGCCAGCTGCCATCCCATTTGTGTACAATCTTGATCTATGCGCCAACACCTTTTGAATTGACATTTTTTTGTGGGCTGAGCTGAGCCCTTCAGCGTCAAATAGTCGATTCTCTACCGACGTTTCAACATTGAACGCCAGCCTCTCACCAGCCATTGCCATTCGCCCCAGGGTGGCCGGGAGCATCGGAAGCATCGAGAGCGAGAGCGGCCGCAGGCGTTGTGGGAAGAAATCAATGGCAAGTTCATCACCCAACTTAGGTGAGATGGTCATGATGGTCATGATGGTCATGTCCATTGTTGTAGCCAAATGCTTGGTCATTATGCTCAAGTTTGGGAGTTTGTTGCTTGTTGTCTTGAAGAAGCAGCGCTCACGTTGCGGATTGCAATTTTCTTTTGCAGGCGCAGGAGGCGGAGGAGCAATCTTGGGCAGACTGCTGCGTCTCACCTTACACAAAGCGCCTACCTACTAATTGCAATCTATTTCTGTTACAATGTATTAGTATTAGTGTGTATTTTTTTTTAGTAATTATCATTACTATTGTTAACAGCATTTACATGGATGATTTGGTGATTCTGTTGTTTCGATGCCAGGACGAAGACGAGCGATATGATGACCCACCCGTTCCACAAAGCCGGGATGGCCTGGACTTCTTCTTGGGTTCACGTTTGTGGCCGACCACTGTGCTATGGTGATGACATGTGATGACATGTGATGACAATATGGAAAGACTTGGGCACTGTCAGACCTTTTCGCACCCCAGGCCGCAGTGCTTCCAAGGAGGCCGGAGCTACAGCTTCAGGGCTGTTGTGGTGCCACTCTATGGAAGATATTATGAAGTGTGTGACACCAAGAGTTTGAAAGGACAGGACTAGTTACAGTGACTAGATGACTAGATTCACCTTGTGTTTGTTGAACATTCTATGTGTTCAGTCGCAACGACCAGCAGGAGGTTTCTACCAGGGTGAGACCTGCGGTTGAGCGTCCCAAGCCTCCTACGCAGGGTCCGAAGGCATGGGTGAAGTGCGCGAAAGAGGGGGGATGTTGGATCAACCATCCGCACAGTTCTTATACTGCCTTTTGCTGTTGATTTTTGGAGCGGAGCAGGGCATCGTGAAAACTCCTCTTTGTGGATGAAGTGTGCAAACCACTCCTTGTTTTTCTCTCGTATTCGCTAGTTTTTGTTTGTTCAAGGCGGGTGGTTGTGCGGGATTCAGCGATAGTTCACTTTTGCTAGCATTGGGATCGCTGCTAAGATTTGTTTCTGTCTGGGAGCCGTTTGGTTGAAGTCAGCTGACCCGGTGAAAGGGATTTCTCGCTTAAAGTAGTTGACACTCAACCAACAAGTCAACAGCAGACTCTCACGATTCTCAGGGTGTGTGTGTCGGTCACTTGTTCCTGAGTCACTTGCAGAAGAATGTCAAACAAAAAAAGTGTTTAACAGCGAGCGTGAAAGTGAATTGTTGCGGTATGGTTCTTTGGTGTGATGGGGTTTGAATTCGACGTGCCCCCAGATGTGGCCAGCAATTCTGCCTACACCTGAGCCACAAGAGATGAAAAGTTGCAGAAGCATCAGGGGTACCCACAGCATGAGCCAAACAGGTTATGCTGTTGGACAGGGTGCCCCACTATGTGCAAAAATGTGCAAAATCATGATTTGGATTTTTTGATCATGAAAGGTAGCCTAGGCTCCCTGAGTTCTATGTACTTTAGTACTAGTTTAGTACTGGGGGAGGTGGTTGGTCCTTTCCTGGAAATTGATGGCTGGAAGTAAGGAATCTCCACATAAGGGGGGGGCCTCCCCCCCACCCTTCGATTCCTCCCGGTCCGGATTCAGCCACGTATATTGTTGGCTCCGCTGCTAGCCTCAAGCGATAAGTTTCCAGATACGGGTTAATGTATCGTCATTGCGGCTGCCAGTTGAAGCACAGTATGTTCTAGATGTGCGGCGCACAAGCAGAAAATCGCCTCGAACTCTCAGATAGCCTATTGCTTGGCCACTACTGTTGAGGGCTTCACCCAGGAGCGCCGACCCCATCTCAATGCGCAAGCATCAGCCCCTGCGAGCCCCAGTTCAAGCGTGCCCAAGAAGTGCTCTGAAGGTTGCATGGGTTCAGGTTGTGCGTGCCCCGACTGAGTTGACGGGCGCGATCTTCTGCAGCGACGTTCTGTCACTTTGACTAGCGCTTACTATCCGGATCGGTTGGTGCCCACACTGGCAGGGAATAAGCTGCGCGTTACGATCTCCTAGATATGGGTTACTGTATTGTCATGTCCTGGAAGGAAGGAAGGCAGGAAGGAAGGAAGGAAGGATGACTTGCGTGTGCAAAAGTTTTCCTATTTACCTCAACCTCTTCTGATACCCCTCAGCGCACGCGCATCCTGTTTCACCCCAGCACACATGCAATTCCAATCCATGTACGTTGCGTTCTAGAGTCATGACAGAAGAAAGTCCATTGCAATGGCTGTTTGCACCTGCCTACTTTGATACTGTTGCCATGGCAATTTTTTTCTGCCCAATAAGAAGCAATTCGGTGCTCTACGCATATCACAGAGACGCAGCTGAGCTCCATGCTCCAACTGGAATACTTTACGAGACCACTCGATGTTCTTCACAGGTCATGGACAATGCTCATGTTAGAAAAGAAAACAATAGCACTATGTCCCTTCGCAGCGACACTTATCCCTGAGCCACAAGCCTTTTAATAGTTCCCACGAAACAAGGGCGGTTTCGTCTCCTGCGATTCTTGATGTTGCTTTTGCTTCAGACATCCTCACGCACTTAGTCGCATGAAATTTACATCCCTAAAGACCTATCCCTACACGCAAAGTGCCTCAACCGAGCGTCCATCGGTTGAGGCACCTTAGCCTCTCTAATTCACATAGTTGGCCAACAAACTGACTAAAATTATCTTGCTTGTGGTTCTTATCGCTGACTATGGCACAGGGTGGGTGGGATTTAGATATTGAGACGAGATGCGTGCAAGAAGTTGTTGATGCCGGGGAAGTTCGGATATTGCAACATCAAAAACGTAAGAAGTGGTGGAGAGGCCAGTGGGGGAAGTCTACGTATGAAGTGAAATCGATGCAGGAAATTGAGAGGCACCTAGGGGGAAGGGAAAGTTCGATATTGAAACAGGATGAGCGCAAAAAGTTGTTGAGAGATATGCCCCCACCTACCTTTCGCCCCCCCTCTCAAGCATCCAAGAGGGTTTATTTGCAAATAGGGTACCACCAATTCCAATGGATTATCATAATAAGTTTTCGATGTTTTCCCCATCACATGGCCATTTGTTGGGTATACCGTGGTAAACCCCAATTTCAGACATATCCAAGATAACAATTCCCAGACACTGGACCGCATGCCGTGGAGCAACGGCAACGGCGGATGGGCCTATGCTGTTGGTCTCTGCCGAGAAGGGCGGCTGCGTCTCCCACACTGTGGGGGGTGGGCCAGCGGCTGAAGCCAGTCCACAGCATGCGCCCTTTGAGCTGCCTCCCGGGGAGGCCATCACCAATAATATCAAGCGCCCCGGCAGGGTTTCCTTATATTGGCCCATCAGGCAAGAATCTTGCCGGTGCACATACATACATACATACATACATACATACATACATACATACATACATACATACATACATACATACATGTATGCATGCATCCATACATACATACATACATACATACACATACCGACAGACAGACAGTGCATTGCATTGCACTACATTGCATTACATTACATTGCATTGCATTGCATTACATTGCAAGCTTCATAAATGCATGCATGCATTCATTCATCTAATACGTACGTACGTGCATGTATGTATTACTGTATAAAAATGTTAAATATATTTTTTAAAAGTGTTTCCTGCAAGGGCCCTCAGGCAACCTGTGTTCCCAAGGGCCCGAGGCAGTGGCTTTGGAACTAAGGTTGACTGCTGGATCCAAAGCCACCCAGCAGTTTCTGTTGCATGCCTCCGACTACGTGAGCTGGATTTGCACTGAAGACTTTGGGTATACCATTGACTTCTCCGTCAAACTATGGGCGAGGTAGCAAGTTGGCAAGTTGGGCAAGTTGGGCAAGTTGGGCAAGTGTGAGTACATATTGATAGAGAGAGAAAGAAAGAGAAAGAGAGAGAAAAAGAGAGAGAGGGAAAGTTTTTTTCTTTTTCTTCCCCCATTTTTCTATGAGTTGGGACCACCTCCTTTTAATGTCAAGCCAAAGATGGGGAGCGGCTTGGGCACTGACTGCCCTTTTTCACACGCAGCATTTTTTTTCCAGTTCCCGAGTGCATCCAGAGCTACGCGACAGGCACCCACATAGCCAGGTGCAATGTGTGAACAAACCACTGAAATTGGTTGGAGTGGATCGCAGCCGTCTCGTCACAGAGAAGGCTCGAGGTACTGCCTTTCAAGGCTATCTGGACCTCTCTGGGGAGCACGCTGAGTGCTTGAGCACTTGCAATAGTGCCACAGAGGAGCCCGTGGCAATTCTTGTGCTGGAGATGGACAATGTCTTCAGTTTTTTCATGGAGAAGGCATGCTTCATAGATCCAAATTGGGTCTGAAAATTGAGGGGAAAACCCCTACATTCATCCACTGATTGATATTAACCTTCATTTTCCCTATAAACATGGCCATGGCCATTTGGGTGTATACCCCATTCGCAGACGGACCCAAATAAGCAGCGACGGGAAATGAGAAGTGCATTGTTTGTACCCTGTCATGATTGCTCAAGAGCATGTCGGTGCCCTCGGAATTTCATCAGTGCGAAGGCAGTGACCGTGCAAGTCTCCAAACGAGCCAGACCACAAGGGACACAAAGTTCCCACGGAAGGAGTCTCTCCATGGGAAGGCCAGTGAATGCTGAAATAGTGCCATCTCACTTTGCTTTTGCTGGGTAAACTTCAGACGGTTTTTGGGTCAGCAACAGCTCATGTTTGCAACTAGCTTTCTGAGTCTCCTGTGCTTGATTAGGCTTGCAGTTTACGTTACCATTTTGGCCCTCTCTATCGATTGTTTGCTGTGTGACTCCTCAGCCCGGGCAAACTTCCGAAATCTCCCCACAATCCCGGCACGTGGCCAGGCTTACTGATGCAAGTGGAAGGCTTGCTGATGTTTCCAAGCAGACCAACCATGGACGGTGGTGCATGGTGCAGCCCCAAAGTTAAGCAAAGTGATGTTGGGAAGTTGGTACATGTTGGGACTCTTCAGATATCAGACCACTCAGCCCCAGTGATTCCACCATCTCCAGGGTGCCATCGGTTTCCCTTCGAGTGAGATCGAAGTTGGGCTTCGAAGGGCTAAAAGGTCCATTACAATGAGTTTGTCATGATCATGATTGTCTTCAGAGATTTGGGTTGAGCCTGCTAGCAACCCATTTGTATCAAGGTGTAATATGATCATAATGGGGTTTAACCGCGGAAAACTAAGGAGTTAGCTGCTAGTTTGCCATGGGGTGATCCCAACTTGTGGTGGTTGGAAAGGGTGTTCACATGGCAATGGGAGATCCTCCATTCTTCTATCCATTTCATGCCATTTATAAGCGATTTTTCTTTTTGAATCAAGTGATTGAGCGTCTAATCCCCAGAAAGACATCACTTATAGATCGTTTGATGGTATGAGTTTAATCATGGCATTCTTTTCGTCAGTTTCTAACCTAGCTTTATTGCTAGCCATGCCGACATGGATTTGTCTAACGTATCCTAATTCAGTCCCATGTATTTGATTTTCCATTTGATGGCCATAACTTGGGCATTAATGCTCTGGCAATAAAGCAAGATTGTTGGTCTAAATCCAACAAAACCTCCAGCATATCCCCATTGCATCCCTATATATATATATATATATCCCCATTAAATCACGAGAGAGATACCCAAGTAAGTATATCCCTAAGTATATCCTCATATTACTGTAGGTATATCCCAAATATATTCAAAGATATCCCAATTTCTCCATTTCTCATGACCCCCTTCAGCCCCTGGCCTCAGGTTGAAGCCTCCCCCAGCGCCCGCAGTGATGCCACCAGCGGCCTGGCTGGCAGCGGCTCCAACTTGGCGCGCGAGCGAGCGATCAGCCAGTCCTTCCGGGTGGAGGAGCTGGTGGAGTGGAGGTGATCTGGGGATGGATGTGGATAGATTATATATATACACGCATACATGCATACATGCATACATACGTATATATATATATATGTGTGTGTGTATATATATATATGTGTGTGTGTACTGTCTGTATATATATATATATACATCTATAGTCTATATATTGTGAAAAATAGATTGTAGTTATGTGTATGCCTATATATGTATAGCCATCAATATGAATATCGACTTAAAAATGTGGTCAAGCTATGCGCAAAGTTATATTTTGATAGAGGTAAGCTATGGGTTTCTTTATTTATTTGTCTCTCTATCCTAGTATGGCACTTAGTATGGGGACAACGTTGGTGACTCCAATTTTATGGATGGCTGTTGCAAATTATCGCTTGGGATGACGATCTCCAAAGACAACTACGCAAAGACAACTACGAACCTCAAACTTAATCCAATTAAATCCATGTATAGGGATTGGTTAGTTGAACCAACAACGGACATATCAACTGTGACACCAACCCACTAAAGGATTTGTCATCTTTAACTGGATCAATTTGTGTAAAATAGTAGTTTCATCCTTCTATACGCAATCATTATTGTTGCTTCTGATCCAATAGATTTAATAGGCTCTATCGATTGGTTGTTGGCGTTGGGCCAGGACCACCGCGTGGCCCGGCTGCGCGGGTTGCTGCGCGAGGCGCTGCGACTTTGTCCCGACGATGGGGCACGAGAACACCTCCTGGCCGCGCAGGTCACGGGGAGATCATGGGACAGTTATGGGACATGGGACATCACCAACCATCATTTAAGGATATTCAAGGTACAACCAGTAAGAAGGGGATCATAAGATAAAATTTCAGAATGAGAAAAGGAAAACCATATCCCACTTGGGGGTGCAGTTGGGGTGAAGAAATTGGTATAACCATGGTAATAACACCCACAATTTGGTATCTCGTGGCTTGGGTTTGGAAGGCACAGATTGAGGAGTACGCGCAGCAGGAGGTGGAAGAGGATTCTGGTCCGTTGAGCTGAGCCCTGGACCATGTCGAGATGCGCGCGTTCGGCTCATTCCCCGCTGCTTGCGTCTCTGCTGTGGGAAAAAAATGCTGAAAGAGGGGCGCCAAGCAGTTGGGGTGGGTGTAATGAGGAAAGTATCACGGCCTTCATCAAAAAGGGACCGAAGACTACCAGTGGTTCTGAATCAATTTTGCACCTGCCGGTCTCCGTGGGGTGATGTCACTGTTGCCGGCTCTCCTGCAGCAGACCTGGCAGGAGAATGTGCCCACCACCGGAGAGGCCAATTCGCTTCAAGTATTGAAGCGATTCCAACTATAGCAACTCCCAAAAAGAGTGAAACAGATCGACATACAGTATCATGTAATTTACATTCCATTTTTAAACCTTTCTATTTTTGGATTGGATTTGATTTGATTCAGTGGAGTTTGGAGGATGATTTCTGATTGCCATCACCAGTTTCAGGAGAAGAAGGCCAACTGCCCGACTCAGTAAAGGCCGGGCTGGGCATGGCAAGCAATAGGCATGATTTTGGCTCCAGAACTTTTACCCCCAACAAAAATACAAAAAATGTTGGGGAAATGGGCGCTTCCCTCATTTTTGTACAATCTCATGGTCATAGTATGTCATTGTCATGGGTCGTTTGGCCTAAGGATCAAACAGTGGGCCGGGTGGAATAAGAGCCGAATTGGCGGAAGCCCCAAGCCATCAGCTAAAAACAGGCAGAGTCGAGACAGTGAGCTGAAGCTGAAACCAGTACTGCAGTACGAAGCGAACACATGTGGGATTTGAAATGTATTGAATGTCCGAGCCGGATGAAGGTATGCGTGAGCAGGCCAATTGAACAGTGTCAACAGTAGAACTGGAACAGGCTGAGGCTAGTTCGAGGCAAGCACAATAAGAATCAGTAGAAATCGGAATGCTAAGCTGTGAGACATCTTAGAATCTTGGGCTCTGCTCACATTTGATTTTGTACCCTCCAGTGCTGGCAGCTTGCCATGTGCTGGGCTGAGCAGTCGCCGTATCGATAAATATCAAACTGCATTTGATAGCCACACTGTTCCAGTTTTGTTGTGAACCGGCGGCTGTGCAGCAAAGTGGCCTCCGGGCCAGGTCACGAAGAGACGTTTCTCACCAAAAAAATCCAAAAAACAAATAAAGAGGCCATTGGCCCTATTTGAGCAAAATTTTGCTCACCCTCAGTCAGCACTGTCCCTGACAGTCCAACCCTGTGCAGGCATGAGGTTTTGTTTCGTGAAAAATATGATCCTGTGCTGTAAGGACAGCTTAGATGCTGCTCTCAGAGCTCCTGATACATTATGTTATCATGACTCATGCCTGTTCAGTTGGCAGGAACGGAATCAGTCTCATTCCAGTTTTTTGGTTGTGCACAGCCAGCTGCCTTGTATTCTTTTAGATGTGTTCAGCGAACTCTTGACTAGCTGTCAGTTTCTGGCAGTGACATCAAGGGCCACGAATTCTTTCGAATATTGTTGGGCTAACGACTTCATGGCATATGATGTCAGTCAGGCCCTGAGGGATTGTCCTGAGACTCGATGACACCTGAGTTTGGGATGTTGAGGGTTTCTGGGCTGGTGTGCTTGACTGCTGAGGTTCTGCGCACTTCCAGCATTCAGTGAATAGGACAGGTGCAGGGAGCAACAGAGGGGGTGGTTAAAATGTGCGAAGGCATGCGAAGGGTCTGGGGCGAGGGCTAGTGACGGTCTGGTAAGCCGATAGCCGCAGTGTTTTTCGTATCCAATTAATATGGTAACGACATTTAAATATGTGGAGGGCGGCCAGACCGCGAGGCCCCGGAGGTAGTATGAAATACCAGTTCGTATATGTAAATGTAGTTGCCGTATGTTTAAATGACTTGGATTCCGTATGTTTATATAAATGGCCGCGCGGGCCAAGGAAAACTTTCCCGGAGGTAGTCTAAAATACCCGTTCGTATATTCAAAAGTCCGTATACTAAAATGTAGTTACATGGATTTGGGACACAAAGCTCGCGGCCAGCTGATTTCCTGATGGCCTTTGAATGGTGGAGTGGCTCAAGTTTCACTAGAGGTCTGCAAAGCAGACCAGTTGAGACATGTTGAGACCAGATGGTGAGCCTCAAGCCAAAACCGCAGCGATCAAAGCCATGCCAGCAACAAAAACTATACATCGACGCTGAATGCTGCTTCGCCCTACTCACTCACAAGACTCAAACAAGAGACCCTGCGGAGGTTGTATACTGTCACACTGTCACACTTTATATCCAGCAAAGATGGCTAGCTGATGATCAAGGAGAAGACCTTCAGTGGTTTCAATGCTCCACATAGGCTGCTCGCAAGAGTGCTAGCAGCGACCTGGTGGCCAAACGGATTCAACTGGATCATGTCATTTGTTCCATGGCCTCGTTGCATGGATCCTTACGGTGCACCACTAGTGCTTTTCTACTTGCCTGTTTCCATGATTTTCCATGCAGGAGCTTACATATTCCATAGCCCAATCCCCGCTGGAGCCACTTCAACAGCTCAAGCCCTTGTCATTGAGGTCGAAATTGTCATGAAGAAGCTGTCAGTAGTCCATGCTGCAGCCTCAGCCTGTCTCAAATGGCAAACGAGCAACGCAGGGGCAGGACTCAGAGACATTCTAACACTCTGGAGACATGATGCAGCCACTCTATTTGCTGTATTTTAAGACGCTTTCGTTGCATTTGCATGTATGGGCCCCCGGGGGTTGCATGGACCAAGGATGCAGCCTCTCTGATAATTCCAGTTCTGCAAATGTCTAGGAATTAGCTTTCAGATTGCTGGTTCATGGCAAGATCAGCACTTTAGAGGATAATGGTCTGCCGACACTTTGGCACCGGAGCGCCCAGGAGAACGGGAAAGTAAAGGCCAGTTTGGACCATCAAGAAGAGGTGCTCCGAACTGATTGTTTGACATGCAGAAAGCATTCAACTTTTCGCAGTTCTTGGGACCTCTTGCGACGCTAATCAACCAGTTCTTGACTCTTCACTAGGCCCACCCTCTTGCTGTAAGTGTTTGTGGTGGTTTGATGTGGTTTCACTGGGTGCCAAGGGCGAGCCCCCTGATAGCTCCGTCCAGGTGTTGAGGACCTTCAAGAGAAAGACTCTGAGGCTGGAAAAAGTGGTGCCTGGAATTTTGCCTTCCATCCGAGTGTCCAAAGAGCATGTGCTTTGATATCTCAAATGGACCAAATGGCCCGGCCGGCAGAGATACAGGGAGTACATTATTCTGCGCACGCCTGGATTTGCACTGCGAACAAAACCAACCATGGCCTCCACTGTTGCGTCGATTCTGCCACACGGCTTGACAGGACAGGAATCTTGGGACCTTTGGCGGCAAGTTGAGGGGCTGAAAATCCGCTGGTCAGCAGAGAGGGAAGGGCATTTACCATATCCAGGGCGAGTTCGTGCTGAGGCCAGAAAAGCTCTGCCACACGAGCGCAGGAACTGACCGGTCCATGACTCTGAGAGCCTTCAGACGTCTCGTTTCAAAAGACTTCTGAAGTGCTGGATCGTGGATCGCTAGATCACTACTACTTCCAATGCATCCTGGTGGTGTTTTGCAACTAGTTGGATCCTCTTCGGAATGATTTTCTGTGTCCAGCCATGTGCTCTTTTCAGGGATGTCTCTGTTGCCATGCCTACCTTTGAGACATTCTGAAATTCTAGTGGTTTCAAGTTTCATGTCAGAAAAAGGCAGATCTAGTTTTTGGACACCAGTTGGACACCAGTTGGACACCAGTTGGACACCAGTTTTCTCAGAGAAAATCAAGTCACGTCTGCTGCCTGTCAAAAAAATCTGGTAAACTTTGCTCCACTGGGGACATGAAATCGCTGACGCTGTGCTGTGACAGGAGGAGCGAGATCTTCTGCGAGCGCTGTCGGAGTTTCCGTGGGGGAGCCTGCCATCATGGGCGACCCTCTGGTAATTTAACATAGCTATGGACAATCACCATTTTAAGTTTTAAGGATAGATCATCTAGAAATGGGCAATTCTCCATAGCCATGTTGAATTACCGGAGTAGACAGCCACAACGGCGCACGTCTTTGGTATGAGGGCGGCCACTAAGGCCTCAAGCTTTGAATGCCTTCGATGATACCTTCGCATTGTTGGATGGTGGGGTGGGGGTTGCCGCGGGGAGCCTCAGTGGGTTGCCTTTGCGTTGAGATCGTCGCAGAAATCCGAACCTGGGTACTGGGACGATCCCTGCATGAACACACACACACATACATATTGTGATTGGCGAGGAGCCAATTCACCCTGGTAGCTGGCAATTTCCCAAATTGCAAGGAATCAAAATGAATAGATGGTCCAACCTTCTATGTAATATTCAACCAGACAAAGTAGTGGGTCCCTGCCACACTCCAACCGCAGCCGCACCGCAATGTTTCCCCGAAACACTATGGCAAATCCGCACCGCAAGGTGTCCAACACCTAATGCCGCAACCACAACCCTCCGCTGGTGCTTGAGCAGTCATGGGACCGGCAAAACTGGGCTTTAGGCACATGCCAGGTAAGTCACATCAAGGCAGGCATGGATACATGCATGAAAGTTCACACTCCTCTAAAATTCTTTTGATGTGACTTTCGACTGATTGATGGTTCCATTCTGTTGTTCACGGATCCACTGAACAGCTTGCTTTCGATGAGCGTTGCGCTCCAAGGATTCATTTTCATCGAAAAGTTGAAAACATCCAGATGACAAAACTTGTCTCAGTAAAATAGGGTCCATAGGTTTGGTTAATGCATCAGCCACCTGCAATGATGTCGGAATCCACCTGAAATGACAATGCTCTTGACACCGTTCTTTGATGAGCAAAACTTCCAGGGTTGTCCTAAACTCTTCACAAGATGGCATGGCCGTTCGGCTAACCAAATCGAATAAACTCTTGCAGTCTGTGACAATGGTTGCCTTTGGAAGTGACCTAAATCCACGGAGAGGATCACGCCAATCAAACTGTGCAATGTGAATGGTCCCCCATAAAAGTCGCATCCAGC